TCCTTATGACAAGATCTTTCATTTGATAACAATAACTTTGACCCTTTGACCTTGACATTTGAGTTTGCCCTCCTTTTTAAGAAATTGAACGTTGACCATAACTTCTGAACGGTTAGGGCTAGGGCTTTCATGATCTACGTAGGTATTTTATGTGGCAAGACCTTTCATTTGATACTAATTACATTGACCTTTTGACCTTGGAAATTTTTGTACTTATTGAAAAAATTAACATTAGCTTACTTTCAAATTTCACAATTGTTTTCCAGTGAGAATACCCTACTTTTGGTTCCAATTAATTAAATTTGCATTTAAAAAAAGCTTAATCTATGCTATGTTGCCATACGGGGGCATCAGTGTTTTACAAACACATCTTGTTTTAAAAGCTCTTTTTAGTTTAGCCGAATTCAGCCTTCAATTACTTTTTTTGGAAACGCTGTTTTTGTTGATTGTAACATCTCTCTTAACTGAAAAGTCAGTTGGTTTAAATTGTTCCCCCATCTTCTTTAACTTCGTCAATAGAAATATGTTGCAGAGAAAAATTCAGTTAGGTATTTTATTAATAAAAATTGGGTCTGATTGAAGGTCCTGTGTAGCTGTAGGTGCTGGCACGAAAAAGATCCCTCCCTGCTCAATAGCCCTAAGTGCCGAGTATGGAACAAAAATTTGCATCTCTCCACCGGCAAGTTGTGGCGTCTCCATATGAGTGAAAAATTCTTGAGAGGGACGTTAAACAATCAATCAATAAATCAATCAATCAATCAATAAATCAATCAATCAATGGTGCCAAATACCCTCTGTTTGGGAAAGAAACAGCAAAATTATATAACACTAGTAGATGCTGGATATTGACATTTTAAACTTTACCGAGTGTCCAGTTTAAAAAAAACATTTCAGACTTGAGTATCATTTGACTTTTTTAAAAGTATATTATGATGGACATTTGTTATATATTACTATAACAACCATGCAGAATCTGAATCCCAGATTGGAAATTAATTAAAATTGCTTCTCTTTAAAGAAAGTGAATTAGGAGAATTTTTGAAATGCTCACTAATTGTAAATATTTAGAGATGAATTATCCCTTTGGTCTTAAGTTATTGGTCACAGTATTGTAACTTGTAGCTGATGCGAATAGTAATAGTTTTAAGCTTCATGATTGTTTGTTCCATTTTGGGAATCAAATTCCGATGATATGTAATTGTAAAACTTGTGACGTTAAAATATTTCTAGAAATAACTTCCAAATATAATATGGTTATAACTGACAATTTTCTACTCAATTATACAAGCATGTATGCAATAATGTATTTGGAAATTCCACAGGTACATCTTTTTGAAATAAAAGTGACATGCTAATACATGGGGTAAGAAAAAGAAATAAAGCACAAGAGTAAATAAAGTAATTTTGAAATAATATAAAAATTAAAATGAATAGTTACATAAAAATATATATTATGAAACATTTGTAATGGTATATTCACCATTCACATTCAAGGAATATCTTTCTTGCTAGGTTTGATTGATCCCTCTGTTTCGGGTTCGAGTCTAAACGTGGGACATGGAGACTTGTCCTTTGGATGAGACGGTAAAGACCGAGGTCCCGTGTCGCAGTAGGTGCTGGCACGAAAAAGATCCCTCCCTCCTCAATAACCCTGTGTGCCGAGTATGGAAAAAACTTACAGCTCCAGCTCTCAAAGGGCAAGTGATGGCGTCTCCATATAAGTGAAAAATCCTCGAAGGGACGTTAAACAATCAATCAATGATGCCAAATACCTTCTGTTTGAGATAGAAATAATGAAAAAAAATATATAAATAATAAATAAGATTACTTGTACTTGATAACCACCATATTATTGACAAACCATGTCATCAATAAATCATAATAAATATGTAAATAATGGAAAATAAAGATATACAATCATATTATTCATCGGCATTAATAAAAATGATGATAACGTCCCAGCTGTATACAAATCAATTACACATTCCAGCTTTAATATAAATATTATAATAAAAAAACTGTACATTTAACAGAGAATTCAGAATTTTATTACATTAGTACGAGCTAAATCTTGACATTTTAAACTTTACCGAGTGTCGAGTTTAAAAAAAAAATCAGTATGATTTGATTTTTTTAAACAATGTATTATGATAGACATGTGTTCAGGTATTGTTCAGTATCTTCCGTATAGAATCTACGTTCTTGACTTGACTGAGCATCTTATTTTTTTAAAATGTGCATTTAGATTGTTTGCATTGTTTTGTAACTGACAATGTTGCAAGATATTTTATTTTCTTTTACTAAAGCCCAGAGAGTTAATTCTACTTAATATATTTAGGTACTATAACAAACATGTAGAACTAGAATCTGATTCCAAGATTGGAAAATAATTTATATTGCTCCTCAACTTTTAAACCCTTCTTTAAAGAAATTGAATCAAGGAGAATTTTTGAAATCCTCACTGACTGTAAATATTGGAGATGAAAAATCACATTGGTCTTAAGTTATTGTTCACAATATTATTACTTGTAGCTGATGCGTATAATAATAGTTTTAATCTTCATGATAGTTTGTTCCATTTTGGGAATCAAATTGCAATGCTATATAATTGTAAAACTTGTGACGTTAAAATATTTCTAGAAATAATTTCCAAATATAATTATAACTGACAATTTTCTACTAAATTAGACAATAATGTATGCATTAATGAAATCGGAAATTCCGCAGTTAAATCTTTATGAAATAGTGAGATTTTATTAAAAAAAAAAACAACTTTTTTTTCTTAGAGTCATAAAGTTATTATATTGTTATGATTTCTGAAAGGGGTTAAGATTTTACAATTAAATCGGAACAAATAATCATTTGAATAGATGAACAATTAATACAAATATGATTTTGTTAGCAACAATTAGCAAAAGTGAACTGGATAACTGCTTGTTTTTATAAAAATATGTAAAAAAAAAAAAAATTAATCAAATTTAGACATAAGTGTTTTAGGAGGTTCAGAGTTTAACAATCTCTTCCTTTTTACTATTCAGGCTCTGTTGTCGTATTATATTTTTTGTTCCGTGTATTCTTTCAAAACTTACAGGCGAATACAAATGGTTTAGAAAGAAAGAAAACGCAGAAATAACTAAAGGAATATTTAAATGAAATAAAGATTAATATGAATACTATAGTTAAATAAAATATATATATCATGAAATATCTTTCTTGCTCGGTGTCATTTAAGCGGTATACTGTATATACCGGTATAGTCTTGAAGATATGAAAGCTTGACGTCTTGTTCAATTAAAAGTAGCAAGTAATTAATTGCTCTCTTCTTGTTTTTGATGAAAAAAACTTTAATCAATTTATTCTTTGTTTTCTTCTTCATCCTTGTTTTTTTTTCTTATCGTATTGCAGTCGTTTGACAAAACCCTGCGGTATTCAAAGAGGACTGTCAAAATATATCGAAGCATTGGACCGGTGTAAATACGTGTACATGGATACACGGCCTCCTTCTTGTATCATGTAATGGTGGTTGGAATTTCCTATTAATTCCAGTTACTGATCATTAAACTTCAGCTTTTTGAAAAAAAAAAGATTGCATCAAAGAAAACAATAAAAACAAAATCGAAAAAAAAAAATCATATCATACAAAACATGTTAAGTGTGTTACATATTTAAAAAAATTTCTATAGAAAAATAAATTATGTAATATATCGGGAAAAGAATGATTTCAAATGCATTATATCAATGAAGGAACTTTTTATCTATGTTTTGGTAATGATAGATTAATAATTTCCTTGATATTTTTATTAATAATTCGTTTTTTTTTTGTATTTGTGTGACATACAAGTTTCATATGACCGTGAATATGTAATATTATGTTATCAAAACTAGACTTCCTCCTATTTTAATTAGCACTTGAACTAAAATGGCAATTTTTCGATGATCACATTGACTTCTGAACATGTGAATATATTTGTCTCATCTCTAATTAGGCAGAATCTCCAATATATAATTTTATATAATTAATCAAACTTCATCATAAGTGGAAACATTTGTATTTTTCTATATTTTGAACCAACGAAAATATGAATATTGAGCAATCTTGACCCATAATCTCACTCTATTCTACTCTTTTGTACATTAATCATTCTCAGTATATAAAACTTTAATCTTTGATTTAACTGTATACTGCACTCAATTGACTATTTAAATAACACTCTTGCTATTGCTTAATATACCAGGGTATGTATTTTTAGACCAATTTTCCTTGTTTCCTTGTTAACGTGCTTGACCCCCATTTTCTATGAAATACTACTTAAAGATCACGATTACTTTCGTTATCTACTTAAGATCTACAGATCAATCTTGTGGGGGATAATGTACAATTATATTATTGTATTTATATGTATCAGTGTATGAAATGTTTATCTACATATACTCAGTGCTTATTTATTTTTATGCTTTTAGGCTTCTTGAGTTTGACAGTTGGGAATTGTCAGAATATTAGTAAATGGATTGCATATTAAACTTATCATAGACAGCTTAGTTAAAGGTTTGAATGTTCAATTTTGTGTAACTATCATGGAACACTTATTTATTTGCATGGTGTATATATATAGATCAATTCTCATTTGAGCAACTCTCTTTATTAAACAAGTTACCATGGAGTCTTGAGGTTTTAAGAAGTTATCTTAGTACAGCATAAACTCCAACTGAATTTGTCCTTTACTGGTACTGAAAAATGTTAATCCATGAATTCCAATATCTTTCCGAGAATTACACATGTACTAGTATCTTAAATTGAAAGATGTTTTTCTTGTGTTTTATTCAATGAGTTTTCTTATTCATTTTTAAAAAATCATGCCTCTTTAAATAGCCCAGAACTTACGAATAAATAATTTTTTTTTATCACGTCATAAGTTGTTAATTGTGAGAGGACCAAGATACTTAGTACTTTCGTTTTTTAAATTGTTTGAATTTGACCCACTATAGAAGTCGGAAGTTAACTTTTATTGTCGTCTCGTGTAGATATTTTTCCGTGATCTTAAATGCCTTCTCCGGAAAGAGGATTTCAACTGAACTAATATATTTCCTTCTCTGAAAACCCGTGAGCTTCAGTCAATGATTATACACACTGGAAGTAACATCAGACGGCTCACACAATGGATGGAAATCTTACTTCTGAGTGGGAACAATACTTGATTTTACGACGCACACCATACACAACATATCTCTTCATCTGCCTCGTTATCGGAATTGGCGGGAATGGGGTAGTGATCCTGACTTACCTCGTCAAAATGCGAGATAATTTGGAACAGCGATTCTTCATTCCACACTTGGCAGTGATGGATCTCCTTGCATGCGCTTCGGCGGCGATCTTATGCCTGCTATCTAACTTTTATCCACTAAGGTTTCCATCGGACTCCCTCTGCCGTTTCTTCTGGTACACATCATGGACAAGTTCTGCAATATCTACGCTGATTTTATTGTTAATTGCCATCCAAAGATACCTTTCAGTTTGTAAGCCCCATGGGCCACAAATGAGCGGGAAATGGCGTTACATAGTCTATGGTTTGACGGTTGTGACATGCATGCTTCTGGCGATTCCTTTTGTTTATTTAACAGGGAACATCAAAATAAGTCAAGTGTATAAAGGAGAAAATGTGACAGCGTACTACTGCTCGACTGGTGCGACTGAAGGTGGATGGAGGGAGTTCGAAACGGTATACTTCATTTGCCTATTTCTCATTGGTGTTTCAAATATACTTGTGACCATGGGATTTTACGTTCCAATAGGTTTAACAATTTACCGTACATTCAACAAACAACATCATCAGAAGTTGAATAACCATACTGGGGAAGAGAGCGTAGACGTTGACTCCTCGGTAGATGGAAGACAAATTAGCGAAGTATTTTCCGGCGACAGTAGTAAAAGCAGAAAATCATCCCTTTGTAACTCAAAATCTTTGTCTATTGTCAGTAAGAAGTCATTGAAAAAGAGGACAAAGGCAAAGAATCGGTTTACGTTGATGCTGATGTTGATTGCTCTCATTTACGTCCTGTCCAATGTTCCCACACTGGCCTTAATAGTAATCTGGAAAGACGATCCGGAATTCTGGTCTGTAGAAGATGACGTCAAATTGAATTTAATCATCATCCTCAGGAGATTATTTCTTGTGAATAATATCGTGAATCCGTTCTTGTATGGATATTTTGATCTGAAATTTAGATGTAAACTTGTAGAATTATTTAGTTGTAAATCATGTCGATGACATATGCTTTAATGTTGTGGCAATACCTTAATTATCCTTTTTTATTTGAATATTGTACAGCAAACATTTTACTACTTCAATTCACCAAAATCTGCACTTGTTATTAAATAACTAACAAAGAAACATTCTTTTTTTTAAAAAGGATGTTTGTAAATTCCCAATAATCTGGACTCAGACACTTTTCTTAAAGCAAACTTTTAGAAGATGATTTTTTAAACGAAAAGAAAACAATCATAGGGTAAGACTTTTGTTAGCTAGTTAAAGAGGCTAAGGGGTGGCAGCCATTTTCAGACTATTTCGATCTCCTTTTTTAAAAAAAAGCTTCAGACAAAGATATACAAAAAATGATCAAATTTTAAAACTAAAATGTATAAATTTTTTCTTTGCCAAATGATAGTTGACAGCTAAAGATACCGCATCTAAAAAATAAGTTAAATCTGGTGGTTAATTTGTGGTTAATTTGTTGACGCCCCGCCTCCTTAAATGTCCCTTCAGTGATTTTTCGCTAATATTGAGAATCCACCATTTGCTAATTGAGGACTTCATTTAGACCTGTGCCCGGCACTTGAGACTTTCGAACAACGAGGGATTTATTTTTATGCCAACCCCTCTTGTGGCACAGAACCTCGGATTATGCGATCTCATCCAGAGGAACAATATCCACGTCACACAGCGGTTTCGAACTCGCGACGTAAGAATCATTTCCTTACTCCTCCACTCTACAACAAACGCTCAATCCACCACCGCGCAGGCGACTGAAGGATTTCTTTAAGACTGTAATGAGGATGTGAAAGTAACAAGCTTACTTTAAAAAATTCCAAAGGAAATACATATGTTTTTTAAAAATTTGGAATCACCATCTGTAGCACTGTAACGACATCCTGTGTCACAAACTCGAGATTTCTCTTATCAAGCGCCTACATTGTCACTCTTTTAAAGTAGCTTTGTATTTATAGCACGAGTTAGTTATTGTAATACTTTATTTATCAAAGTACTACAGGTTGTATGTGATAAACAAGAATGACACATAATGAAAGCAAAACAAAAGAAAATACATATTTAGCATTTTAAAATTCTATCCACACAATGGGACTCAAGACGGATATGTGATTTTTTGCACGTTTGAATTCTGGGAAGAAGAAATATATCTGGGTAACTATGCTGACCATACGTATACAAGAAGAAGGAAGTTTTTAATTATTTAAAATTCTGAAAGAGATGTGCATAATGATTGATACGATAATTGTTTTTAGAACGGAAAATGAAGCTTACGACAATATACAGTGTACCAGCCTTTTTAAAGATTCTTAAATAAATAGTTACAATGGTTATGTGTCAAATATTCTATCAGTCTACTATACCTTTTTTAATTATTTTGTAATGGTAAAGAACAAAATTGTCTTTCATAATATCTAATTAGCCCCTTAATTGCAGAGTGTTAAATATTCACATGTTTTTAAATTAGTTTCTCTTTGGCAAAGTGCCAAATATTCTATCATATGTTTTTTAATTAGTCTCTCAATGGCAAAGTGTCAAATATTCTGTTTAATCTTATGATGATGAATGCAGTGTAGTGGTTTAAAGTGTTCCAAGTGCTTCCGAATTAATTCTAAAAACTTTTGGAATCAGTTGATCTCAAAAATCTCAAAACTAATTAAGAACATTATAGGTGTTTGTGGAAGTATGGTTTTGCACACGAGGAAGAACTTAAGATTTTCTGGAAGGATACATGTATATCTCCTTAAATTAATGGAAAATCAAAGTACTGAGATAAGATTATATCTCTTTTTGAATGTTTGGAATTCATTCCCATATTATTTATAAATTTGATATTCTATTTGACCTTATTTTGATACATTTTTGTAAAATTATGCTTGTATCTTGATATATTGTCTGTAATAAACTTTTGAATAACAATTACTAGTAATAAGATTTTTAGATTTTATTTTTTTTGTTATGTTTTGATTAAAATTGAATTGATAACACATGGTATGTTGCAAGCATCTTACTTAAATGGACTTGTTTTAACCTTGACCACAACTAGAAATTAGATAGCCCAGCAAAAGTAACTGCTGGACTGTCGATTCCTGTCTGTATGTGTAGTAATAAGTTTACCTAATTATATTCGCTTTTTTGTTTTTTTTCTTTTAAAAATCGATTGCAATATTATAGTTAAAAAAATTCATAAATGTCGTGTTGTTTTTTTTTTTAACTTGAAAGCGGTAATTACTGAAAATAATGAATTGAGTTCAGTGATAAAGTTTCAAACATTCTGTCATACTTTTCAAAAAAAAAAACTAATCTCTAAATGGTAAATTTTCCAGAATTCTATCATGTATGTATTTTTCAATTAGTCTCTAAATGGCAATGTGTCTAAAATTCTAACAATTTTTTAAACACTTCTCATAATTGCAAAGTGCCGAATATTATATAAAATTTTCTTTGATTAGTCGCTCAATGGCAGAGTGTCAAATATTCTTTCACACGTTATTGATTTAGTCTGTCAATGACATCGTTTTATATATGCAATTTAATTTCATAATGATACATGCGCCGTAGAGTGGTTTGAAGTGCTAGTGAAAAAAAAACTATCAACACATTCAGGAATCAGTTGATGCTAAAAGTATCAAATAGTATTCTGGAAGGCTATTGGGATTTGAGGAAGTTTTGTTTTACACGCGAGGAAGTCATGCAATTTTTACTCAAGCCCTAGAGGGGCTTGAGTTATCTAAAACGATGTTAGGTCATCGATTCACTCAATTTAAAAACACGAAGATCTATTATTTTCGTAGATAAAAACATTTCTAGAAACAAAAATGAAGCTTATCTTGAAAATGCCTGTATATTCAAAGATATTAAGTGTTCATTGTCGGATTCTATTCTATGGCGAATGAACAATGAGTGAAGCTCCGCAGCCGCAACAGTTTCTATTACAGAGATTTCGCGCTTTTTTTGCGTAGGAATCTCAGGTAACTTTTTTACAGTCGCCGACAAAGCATCATTGGACGAGTCAACAGCAGACTAGGAAAGATGACCCATGCTACCCAATCGTTAACAAATTCTACAATGCATGGCCAGAAAATGTATGGCTGTACCCCCCAAACTGAAATTGCTTTACACGGGCCTTCAATTGATGTGCACTATGACTTTGAGTGATAGTAAGAAAATAACACAAAATTAATGTTATATATATATATATATATATATATATATATATATATATAATATATATATATATATATATATATATATATATATATATATATATATATATATATATATATATATATATATATATATTGACAACCCCTGATTGATGGTTTGCCATTTATCCTGATATTATTTATGGAATTTAATTTTTTTTTGTTTTACTTTATTTCTATATATATATATACAATGTATATATTTTTTGCAAACCTATGCTAATATTTAGATTTTTGTCTCATTATTTTTCTTTTCAATAACAATTACTCAATTATCAAAAATAAATATTGTTTTGTTGATTCGTCGATTAAAATAGAATGTGAAACATCTAGAATTTTGCCAGTATCTGCTTTGTTCTTTGGGGATCACATATAATCATCACTGAAAATAAAAAAAAAGAAAAGAAAAGAGTCTGAAACATTTTATCTATATCTTGATATTCATAAATAAAAGACATTGATTGCAAACTATACAAGATTTTAAGATTAGCATGAATATTTCAAATTCTCAACACTTAGCTTTCCTGATATATTTTCATCTATCTGCAATAAAGGCTTTTTCTCTCTCTGTTATACGTAAATATAGATTTTTTTTATGAAACAATTGTTTAAAAGAGGCAAACTTTTTACTTAAAACAAATCTCATTTAAAGCCAGCATTTTGCAAAATTCTATTTTCGATGCAACCGCCATGTTTGCAAACACGGCCTATCGCCGGTCCAGTGTTGACTTCATACAAATTGTTAGGTTTCCTTTGTTAAATTGTATGATTATTTTTAAAATGGACTTTCGAGCACTATTTCTGGTCCTCAATTTCGCATCTGATCATGAAAAGGAAATTAAAGTTGATGAAACATATATGATAACATCCAATTATTAATGAAGTCTCTTAAGGACTAGTGTTAAATATTGTATCTTATCTCATGATTATCTTATGATAATGCAGATGCAATTAAGTGTTCGTAAGTTTTTCGAGTGCTTGTAAAGCCTTTTTAACGAAGAATTAAGGGAACCCTCTATGGCCAAAAATATTACAAAATTCTAATATGTAAGAATATTGCCAATAAAAGTAGCTTTCTTTTGTATGAAATATCCTGAGATTACGAACAGTATTCCAGCTCAGATCAAAAGTCCAAAAGTGAACAATACAAATTTTGGAGCAGAGCAAGCACGGTCCTTTAAACACCTTAATGTCAAGAAAATTAGTGAACAGTAGCTGAAGAAAGGTTGGTTAATTTTCAGATTCAAAGTTGTAAAATAAAGATTAATGCTGAATGTATGCGGGAATACTTTCACTCATGTTTTTTTCCCAATAATTTTTGTCATTTTTTCTTCATTGCAATTCAACTGTTAAGATTTGTTGAAACGAAGACAAAAGAATGAAAATACTAAAGGAATCGTGGGTGTCTAAAAAGCTTCAAAACGTTCAGAATTATTTTCAAAAATAAAAAGTCTAATGTTGATGACAGAAATAGAAGAACTTGTCTTCTGTAGATAATTAAAGATGATTGTTTGAACATATTGTCGACGTCATCTTAAAATACGTAAATTGCTTATAAACTTTTCTTCTCTTAATAAAACTCGAAATGTTAATTCTTATAGATGGTTTGATGAAAAATTGGGGTCTTAGAAAAATCCCTGTTCGAATCAATTTTGATTGGGAAGTTCCGTCCGTGTATCCACAAGTTGTTCCTGTTTCCTTACGAAAGCCCTAATTATTATTACACACGAACTTACAATACACACATATAATTACTGTCTTTCCACAAATTCTATTTAAAGATAAACTTTGTTGTTATAAGTAGTCATAACAACAAGGTTTATTTTTAAATAAAATTTGTGGAAAGACATTACAATTTATATTTTTATATTTTATATCCAATATCCTTATGGTGTGCATTTTTGTTTTCAGATTGTTACGGTGACAACCGTTAGTTGGAAATATGTACGAAAGTTACAAGTATGATAGGGCATACATGTACTTATACATTACACTTCTGTTCCAAAACATAAACGTTCAAGACTACAACTCGTGAGTTATTTACCTTATCATTGAACATTTACAAAATTCATTTTTTAAATTAAAATCATTCTGATTGTAGACACAAATACATTAAGTTGACATAAAAGGATGCTTGAGATCTGATTAATAATATCTAGGTGGTTTTTCCAGGTCTTCCAACAATCCACTGGAATCCCCATGGCTTCCAAATGCGTTCCGTTATTAGCCATCTAATCTTTATATTCACATAATGCGGAATTTATTCAAAATGTTATACATGAAAAGGACACGCTTACTGTGGCAGCCAACTCGACATTTAGATATTTCGACAACGTATTGTCAGTTAAAAATAGTTATTTCCATTCATATGGTAACATGATATAACCCAGTGAACTTGAAAATAAGATTTTCGTACTAATTATTATTAATTCATTGTTGGTAGATTTTCCACTTATTTCTAGATAATGACGAGGAGCACACTGCGGATGTGACCGGTCGGCAAGGGATGCCCACTCCTCCATGGCACCTGATCCCATCTCTGATGTTTTAGAGTTCCATGTTTGCTTTGCTCCTGATTTTTATTGTTGAATGGACGTTCGAGCTTGAATACAGGCTGTAATATCCAATTATTATATTCCAACATATAGTTTGATAAACAAATTACGTTCTTCGTGGATTGTACTGAAAAGAAAATTATTATCTCATCTAAATAATATTTCACTGGATTTGTTTTTTCGTGCTTGTGCCTCATTTATATCACATGATAAAATAAATCCTTGAAATTAGTGCAAGACGAAAAAACCTTTTTTAACAAGGATCTCTAACGCTAAAAGAAAGACAACCTCTTTTTGTTGTTGTTTTTCAACATTACATGTATATACTTTTAAAAAGCATAATAATCTAATTAATAATCATAATTTTCTAAGTATTTAAGCAAAAGGTTGTCATAAAAGAAAAGAACAGGAGAGATTAAGTTTATTTTCTTATACTTAAAAACTACTGTATAGCAGGTTAAAATCGCGGTCGGAAAAGATCGCGATTTGTTCAATTTTCAGCAAATCGCGGTAGTTTGAATTCGCGGAAAAGGAAAAACCATGAATTTCTTTAACATTACTTGCAAGCATTTTTCTGTAGGTATATATTGTGTGAACTGCTATTTCTCGTCTCTGTAGTATAATATTAAAGTCTGTAATGTATATTGCGCATATCAGACAGAAAAGTTAAGTCTATATATTGTTGCGATTTTGATCCCGATTGCATATTAACGAAACACCGGACTGATCCCGATTTGAAGTCAAAATAATGCTACGCATTGAATTTTTTTTATTTCCGGGTCCAAATCAGAAAAAAAATTATACCGTAGTAAAAATGTTGAACTTTTAATCATATAATTGAAATTAATTAATTGTCTTACCCTGTTTACTAAGTAAATGCCTTGATTAAAGGTAATGACTGGTATCATTGAGTATCATTGAGTGATACGCACGGGTGAAATTAAACAAGCATGTTTTTATACCCCCCGCTTGAAAAGCGGGAGGGTATTTATACCCCCCGCTTGAAAAGCGGGAGGGTATATAGTGATCGGGATTTCCGTCCGTCCGTCCGTCCGTCCGTCCGTCCGTCTGTACGTCCGTCCGTCCGTCTGTTACGCTTTTTCTCTTATCCGCAACTCCTCTTATACTACTGAGTGAAATTGAATAAAACTTTCACAGAATCTTCATTACATATTGCCATTGTGCACCTCCTATTTTACTTTTTATTCGACACGTATTTTAGGTTTCCCAGAGCAAAACATAGACATTCCATTTTTTGTTTACCTATGATGTCACATAATAGAAGCTTCTGGATAACATTTGACGGGACGAGTTATTCCTCTTTACACATTACCGTAAAACAATATAAAGCAATACATCGACATTATGGGAGGCGGGGGGTATCATTTAGTGAGCTCATTGCTCACAGTGCCTCTAGTATTAAATACTAGTAATTACATCGCACGTCTACTAGATGGCAAAATTAATCGTTAGCTATAGAAAGGAATTGACTAATTAACTAGAGGTACTGTGAGCGATGAGCTCACTAAATGATACCCCCCGCCTCCCATATGGTTATAACTGGTGAAAAAGTCCATGTTTTCCTGTGGCCGGGAAACCCAAAATATGTGTCGAATCAAAAAGTAAAATAGGAGGTGCACAATGGCAATATGTAATAAAGATTCTGTGAAAGTTTCATCAAATTTCATTCAGTGGTATGAGAGGAGTTGCGGATAAGAGATGGGTACCCCAAAGCGTAACAGACGGACGGACGGACGGACGGACAGACGGACGGACGGACGGAATTAACGATTACTATATACCCTCCCGCTTTTCAAGCGGGGGGTATAATAAGCTTTAAAAACAGCAACAACAACGTGTTTTTATAATTGATCCAGACACTCGCATAATTATAAAGACTGTCTACACCTAATCACAGAAAATAATAAAAATTCAATTTATCCTTATAAAACTTTTTAAGAATTATTCACTGTATGTTGAATTCGCGGAATTTCATTTTCCGCGAATATAGCGAAAATTAACTCCGCGAGTTAATTTCCTGCTGTACAGTACTTGGTCAAATACTGGTACTTCTTTAACTTTTGATGCATTTACTACAACCGTTGTTTGACCAAGTAGTATTTAAGTATAAGAAAATAAAATTAATCTCTCCTGTTCTTTTCTTTTATGACAACCTTTTGCGTAAATTCTTTGAATATGCAATCTATTGTACTGTTGCAATCCCTAGAAAATTGAAAATCGCCGAACTTTTTTTTAAATTACAGGCTACGTTTGTGGTGTGATACATGTATGGAGCATAAGAAGAGATGGGTGTGTCAGTGCAAACCTCTGGGATAAAAGTGAAAGCTTTCTTCAACACTTTAGACAACCATTGCTAGAAATAACTAGAGGTACTGTGAGCAATGAGCTCACTAAATGATACCCCCCGACTCCCATATGATAATAATGGAAAAGTCCATGTATTGCTGTGGCCGGGAAACCCTAAATATGTGTCGGATCAAAAAGTAAATTTGGAGGTGCACAATGGCAATATGTAATAAAGATTCTGTGAAAGTTTCATTAAATTTCACTCAGAGGTATAAGAGGAGTTGCGGATAAGAGATGGGTACCCCAAAGCGTAACAGACAGACGGACGGACGGAGATACCGATTACAGTATACCCTCCCACTTTTCAAGCGGAGGGTATAATAAGTATATTTGCTTACATAAAATCCCATAAAATTTACGAAAATGCTGACTTCAAACGAGGTTGTTGAAATCCCTTTATCATCCCTTTATCTGCCAGCTGGAGATTGTATCTGTTTAAGAATAATAATACTCAGAACATGCTTTTTTATATAAATATAAATTGTTTGTCATAACCTACCATTGGGTCGTATTTAAGAATTTTAAGTTGACCTGTTTTTATACTTAGTTTGACTACGGAACAAAGGCATGTTACATGCAAGACAGCACCCGGATCATTATTTGAAAAATGCACACACATAGGTAATTTGTATCATGTTTTGCATGTTTCCATTTATTTCTAGGACGTAAAATAAATCTATTGATATTTTTTTTAAAGAAATGATTATCTCGAAAAAGATGAAGATAACCCAGAGGGATCGATCTCATATACAATTTTTGAAATAGAATTCTCGGCACAAACACTGACCAACAGAAAATCCAGAGGTGGGATCAAATGATATTGAAGAAGTAAGCCTTCCATTTTAACCAATAACACCATCACATAGTTGAGTATGACGTCATATACTTTAAGGACCCTTTCTACACCAATGCAAAATATTTTTTGGACATTGAGAAAAATACAATCTATAAAGGTGCTGATATTGAACTTATCTATTTAATTTTCACTGTATGGTACGTGGCATTGAACCCCAGGAAAAATAACCAAACACAACACAGTATCAGCAAATAGAAATCACCGTTGTTTACTTCTACATAGAAAATACATTTAAATAACATGTTCAATTAATTTATCTTGTCCATTTAAAATGTTAAGAATGCTTAAATTCATTACAAAATGTGTAATATACTGTGAATTTCTATGTTTTAGAATGTAGATCTAAGGGACAGATCATTCTAACTGCAGTAAAATACCATAGAATCAGAACTCTTTAGTGTGCAGTGTAGAGAAGGTTCTTAAGCAGAGTAGAGTTTTGAAATGATCACGACTGTTCTGTCTATCTGATCTATACATAAGACTCATGGCAGTTGTGGCCAGGCATATGGGGATTCTTACACATCTTAGATTTCTAAATTCACTTCTGGAATATCGGAATACGTATTTTATGTCCTGTTCACATATTTGCATTGTCTGTATATTTTCTTTTAGATCAATCACTGTTCGTAAGCATTACATTTTCATTAATTAAAAACACTTACACTTATGTGGTGTCAACCAAGGTACACACAGTGGGCGTGGCCGTCGAAATGTATGCCTGTAAGTCCTTATTTCAATATACAATATTTATTGCCTTTAATATTGTTACATAATTGAAGAGGTCATAACCATTTAGATTATTCGAAACAATCAATTGGTCTTTGGAAAATGGGGTTATCGCAAAAGAGATTATTCGTAGGAAAAAAATACATTAAATATAAAAAATGAATTTATTCTTTCGAAAGTCCGTTTCATATATACAGAAAATCCGATACATTTAAAGTTTTTCTTTTATACAAATGTGCAGCAATTTGTTAGATTTTTTAAATAATACATGAAACTGTAAATTGAATATCTTTTACATTCTTTAAAGAATAATTTATTTTAAAAAACCTCTGTATTAAAAGTGCATATATCTCAACCCCTGTTCAATATTTAGACCTAGCAAGGAAGATATGTTATACATTAAAATTGTATGCAAACACCTCTTATTAGGGAAATGACTTTTCATAAAAAATGTGACATTTTCTATCATACTGTGCTTTTGCATTCGATTAAGGTGAGGGTGCTTATTTCTCTATGTCACCTCATTCAATTGCACCTGACTCTGTTTTCAGGAGGCCGTTTTTCCTCGCTCTCAGTTTTGTTTGATTGATCTTACATGCAAGAGTATAGATTGTGTTTATTAAATTCCAATTAAGGTAAGTCACTCGTCAGCTTTTTAGAAAAGTTCACGCAGAAGCTTTTACTTCAAAACTACTTATTAAAATTCAATTTTTATAACATATTTAAATTCAACAATGTAAATTTTTTAACATTCAATGAAAAAACTGCTGAAAATTCTACAAAGAAGCAAGATTTATGAGGGACTATTTCTTTTGGTGGAAGGATATTTAGCAGATAATTCTGCAAATCTGCACATTTATAAAATTTAATGTAATGGAAATTTAGCCTCACATAATTTTACTCTGAGAATATTTTCCGTTTTGATATTGCTAAAAATATTTAATATAGGTCTTAATTTATATTTTTAGACCAAGTTTTACACCTTCCCTCAACAAACTTTTCAAAAAAATGAAAATATATTAAAGAAGTCAAGATCAAATTTACACCATTTTTTGCCTGAAAATCACATATTTTGACAAATATTTCAAAATTAATATCACTGACCCCACCTTTTTCTTTCATTATTTTAAACTACTCGATACTTGTGACTGATCAGCACTTAAGTCGTAAAAAGTTTGATATAAGAAAATTTTTTATTGCCTATTAAGTTTTTTAATACCCCAAATATGTTATTTTTTAGTGCAAAAAGGTCACACAATAATTTACGCGCAATAATTTGCAAGATTTGTTTAATGATAAATATTATTCAAACTATTTTACGTAAAATAAGATTATATTTATTGCCATGCTTACATCTGATCAAATATAATAAAGGTTAAAGTAATTAACCAAAGAGATGAAATTTAAGTGCAAAAAGGTCAACTTAATTGTACCGTAGATCAGTAGGATGCACACTGACCCCCTATTTTCTTTGCGATTTTGAGTTACACTTTATGAATACTTATCCAAAATATACTTCTCAAAAAATCCTTGATTTAACAAATTTCAGGAGTGACTTACCTTAATATCACAATTCACAGTTTTGAAGTCCTGTAACTTTATATGATATTTAATTTTTTTTCTTTATTTGGTAATATTCTGAGTTTCATACAAGTACAAAGAGTATTTTGAAATTATTATTATAGTTCATATAGATGTTCCTCATCATTTCCTGTAGATGATTTAATTCTACTCATTTCTTTCACTTCAACCATTTTAAAGATAATAACAGTTCCATCTTTGCAACCTACCACAACCTGGCCTTTTTCGTTCATTAAAACTGCAACGGGTCCACTACAGGAATTGTCCAAATCGTAATCTGTATGGCTTATCTGTCGCGGTTCGAAATTTATTAGATGTAACTTTCTTCCGGTAGTATTACCAATAAACACTTCCCTATTGTCCTTCCTTTCGTTGACAAAACACTTTGAAGGAGTAAATATGTCTTCTTTGGTTACAGACCAACCTGGATTTATATTTTTCTCTTCTCCTTTCATCAATCGCTTCAGTCCGATGTGTTTATCAGAAACCAGCAAAAACATTCTATCATGAATTACTTGTGCTGTTATGTACAGCGGTTCCTTGAGCATGCCTTCTTCATTGTATCGTTTTACAATTTTCCCACTTAAATTATCATTTATTTGATATTCTGTGACTTCCTTTTTTCGAGGCTCACAGAGGTACACTCTCCCAGCAAAAACACAAATCCCTTTAGGGCGAAGGCATTCTTTCGTAAAACACGTGAAATATGTATATCTGTTGTTTTTTCCTCGTTTATAGACTCTGACGGCACTTACTGATTCCTCTACAAAAGTTATGGAAAATGTCAACTTATTAGTTAAAAACACGCAAACACACACATACACACCCTAACACACACACACACACCCTCACACACACACACACACACACACACCACACACAGAGAGAGAGAGAGAGAGGATAGATAGAGAGAGGGGGATAGAGAGAGAGAAGAGAGAGAGAGAGAGAGAGAAGAGAGAGAGACAGAGAGAGAGAGAGAGAGACAGCAGAGAGAGAGAGAGAGAGAGAGAGAGAGAGAGAGAGAGAGAGAGAGTCACCTCTTTTCCCAGGATCGGAAATAAAGAGCAACTGTTTTCCATCGTTTGTTTGGTACGAGTCTAAGTCAAATGGTCCGTCTAGTTTCTCAATGATTTTCCACATTCGGTCTCCTTGTGTTCCATATCCGGTACATTCTCCAGAACTTTGACTGGCTATAACGATGGTATCACCCAACACTATCATGCCTACAAATTTAAAATCATTTATTTAATAAGTAAACGTTTTTAAATATCTATCAATTTTCTGTTTTTGTAGAAGAGCCATCGAAAACTCAAGGCTCCTGGGCACTTATATATGTTTTAGAAATGTTAAAAAATAAAGTCTTTTATAACCCCTGCTTTAAAAGTGGGGGTGTATAGCGCTTTGGGTGTCTGCTCGTCCTGCTGTCTGTACGTCTGTCCGTAACGCTTTGGGATACCCATCTCTAATCCACAACTCATCTTATACAGCTGAATGAAATTTAATGAGTCTTCGTAGAATCTTTGTGACATAGTGGCATTGGGAACCTTCTATTTTACTGTCTTGGGTTTCCCATAGCAAAATATGGACAATGCCATTCTTTCTCTAAATGTTTTGGGATTTTGCATACCATTGCAAAACTATTATTTGAGCTGATACTTATTTAGGGTCTCCCAAAGCAGAACATGGACTTCGCCATTATAAACATATGGGAAGGCCAGAATATCATTTTGAGAGCTCATGGTTCACAGTACCTCTAGTTTATTATTAAAAATAATTATCTCAGATTAGTTTTATTAAGAATCCATCATTTTCAGGGGGTGCTAACTCCTCCATGGCACCTGATCCCACCTCTGATGTTTTGGAGATCCGTGTTTGCTCTGCTCCTGATTTTTATTGTTTAAATGGACTTCGATGTTGAATAACTGTCCGTTATTTACATAGCTCATTTCACATTCTTGCTAAAAGTATACTTTTTAATCTGTAATGAAATGTAATGCAAAAAAGTGAAAAGTAGGTAGAAATACACCTTCCCTAAAATGTTCTTATTGATGTTCTTGATAATTTATGATTGATTTAAATCAGGGGAATTTCAGTTTATTCTCAGAAAATGTCCCACTTCATATGATGCTTCGAGTGTGTATTCTAAGCACACCCTTTTAAAATAAGACGGCTATAAATTAACATTTCCTGATAATTAATAATGTGTTTTACTAATCGTTCAACAGATTACCCAACACAATTTGAGCATCGTATGTAGTTACAAAAGATAAAAATAATACTGATAAAAAGGAAATGATCCTTCTTTCCTTCAACAATTATTTGTCGTACATAAGTCTGATATTTCACTTCAAAAGGTCTTTAAATTGCTTTGAATTTAGTTTTTATCTTAGAAAATTGTCATGATAATTTAGTTTCTTCACGAGAGCAGAGATTTACTCTTCTCTTAAACAAATTAAAGATATGTTTGATTAACCTGTGATTCTTGTTTCCGTATCAAACTGACAAATCTTTTCAGTGATTTCTTTTGTATCTTTGTTTGTCGGATTCCGCATCTGTACCAAGGTATCTTCATAGCGATCCTGCAAAAACAGTTCATGACATAAGCAGATTGTATATCTCACAGGATTCATCAGTAGTACACATATTATGATAAAGCAGAATAAAAAACGTTGACGAACTATTGAATAATCTCTTCTACATTAAGAAATCTTTAATAAATCCAAATATTTAACTAAATAAAACTAAACTCTCAATTTTCTATTTACTACACCTCATTGCTGTACATGTTCTCCGGTGAATTTTCTTCATTGATCATTATTCGGGCTTTCCTCTTTTCCAGTTGTCGACATTGCCGAAGATCAACTTCATTGTAATAAATATTTTGAGTTTCTTTCCTTTCTGGAAAGTCCATTAATTCTGAACTTTGAGACTTTGAAGAATCGGAATCTAAAAAAGAAGACCGGTCATTGGAGGACGAAGAATCCGACTCAGGCCTCGTTTTGATATTTTCTGTCGTTTTCTGTATGGACTTTTGTTGTTTCACCAGATGAGGTAGTGCCTGAAGCTTTTCTGCGCCTCCGCCAAATGACAAAAGTAAATTTATTTCATAGAGCAGATAAAATGTTTGAATATGGACATCTCCGATTGAGTTTTTGATTACATTATACCTCAACTTCAATCCGAGGGTTTTCTCATGCCCTTTCACATTTTCCTGTTGTGTTTGAACCACAGACATGGTTTCTTTATACCTTGACTGCATCTTTCTTATTTCTCTCTCTGCAGACTTAGCCGCTTTTGAAATATTGATTAGCATATGTTCGCATGGACAACATTTTGAACATGCTGGCAATTGACAGTCACTACACCATCTTGTAATTTTGTTATCAATGTGGAATTCGCATTTAGTAATTTTACTAATATATTCACTTTCTTGTAAGGTACTTCCAGAAAGGTAGACCTCATGCTTACGAGCTTCAGGTACTTTGTCATGCAATATTTTACACTTCTGGCAAATTCTAAGTTTGCAAATTCCACAATACAATACAGCAGAAATGTCCTTGACATGATCATCATCAAAGTTGCAAAAGGGATTCCTTTTCAGTTTATCAAGGTATTTATTACATCTTACGATTGATGCTAATCTTTCGAATAGAGGATTACGTGGGAACGTGTGTGCTTTTACGTTGAACGGTTCCTTGCATATTGAACATTTTCCAAATGGTCTTTGAGCTTCCACACATGATTTACAAATCGTGTGACCACATGGTAAGTACACAGGATAAATGAATCGTTTGTCGCAGCTACAGCATTTTATGTCATGTTCAATTTCGTGAAATATATCTATTGTTTTCTTTCTAAAATGAAAAAAAAATGTATCTTTGTAAGATCGACCTATCTACTCGTTTTGGCTGCCGTCGCAAGTAAATGTTTATGACATTAAAGCCATATATGGCGTAACTGATCAAAAAATATATTTTTGAAAAATACAAAATTAAGTAAAGAAATATAGAAAATACATTTAAATTAAAACTTTTCATACAATTCTGAACACAGAGAACACCTCGTTTCAACTAATAATACGATTTTATCTTCTCTGTAATGTGTTATTTAAATCTTTTGTATTTTTTGCCAGATAAATGCTACAAATTTTGGAATTCCAAATTAAATTGTGATATCTTTATAATACAATTGACTTCTATTTTGTAATTTACAGAAAAGTTCGTTATCTTTATATAAATGTAATGATACAAATGATACAAGCCTACATTGTTATAATTTTAGTCTAATAATTTTCATTATACATACGCCATATATGGCTTTAACCTAACTGTATACACAACTTTCACCTTCATAAATTGTTTTACCTTGGCCGAATTTGACATCTGACCAGCTTTCTCATGTATTCATTACTTAAAACTGAAATTCTCAAATAATAAATAAATTTAAAATTTATGAACAGATCTGAAGTACTTCCTCTGTTTTTAAAAAAGAAAGTATTTGTTTTGAAGCTAGGAATACCAAGTTAATCAATATTAAAATTTCCGGCCCATAACAACAGGAAACAATTTAACTTTAAACTTTTACGAGTGCACTATTGAAAACCTTATCTCTCATCCAGAACTATGCAATATATTGCTGTCTTTTGTCTCAATAATCTGTTTCCTAATTCAAATTTGTAAAATTAATTTGCATGATATAACATCTTATTTTATTAACATCAATGGAGGTCTATTATTTATCAAACTATTGTTCAAATTATAAATATGTTATTTTGTCTAAACATAGGTTTTACTCAATGCAGAAAACAATTCTTCTCATTTTGGAGTAAATATAAGATATTCTGATGCATTACAAAGAAGATTGTATAAAACACATAGTGTCTGAAACAAAATTGTCTTTTGGGCAGTTTACGGCAAAAAGTTAAATTTCCTCATATGCAGGTGAAACTTCAAGGCTAAGCTCAAGATTGATATTTTAGGGTTTTAGGGTTAAGGTCAAAAGATCAAATATATTTAATATATTAATGAAAAAGTATCATGTGAGGAATGAAAACCTTAAGTATCAACATTTCAAAAATTACGACCAAAGCTTGGTATATTTTTGCAAGGATGGGTCAAACTCTAAAGTCAAGGCCAAGAGGTAAAGTATGGTGGTACCCGAAGAAAAGTCTTTTTACAAGGAAAGCAGATGTAAAAAAAGAAAGTCAGTGCGCTATCTAATTAAAAGTTTATGGACAAGTTTAAAGCTTTTGTGGACACAGAGAGAGAGAGAGAGAGAGAGAGAGAGAGAGAGAGAGAGAGAGAGAGTATTTAATTGATGTTTGGTTTACTGAAAAAATGAATATGCAGTATAACCCTAAATTCTTCGATGATGGGGGCATAATTATTGTGTGTTTATATGCATAATTCATTCGATTTTAAATGAAGTAAACATATGAAAGAGAAAATATATTAAATAAAAAGAAAAAAGTGGTTCAAAAAGAAATTATGAAAAAACGTTTATTATGACACAAAATGTAGCTTAAAGATCTCGTACCTGTCGGATTCTCGTAGCCTTTTCGCCATGTTTCAGTTTGAATAATGAACGTTTTGATCTAGTGGCCGTTGGTTTGGGTTAGATGTATTTCAAAATTTACAAAAGGTGATTCAATTTTGTGTAAGTCTATTTCCTTAACACATGCAAGAGAATCTTTAGTCGTACGCGTAGATATTAGACTCATCATACGAGGAAACATTAGCAAAATATACAAAAATAGAGACGCTCACCAAACGAATAAAAATTAGTTGGAATGGGTCATTATATGATCGATTTGCGCAATAACAATGTTTACTGGAAAATCCTATTAACAATTTTTCTACAAATATAAATACAAACTGCACTTTTTCTATATCTATAAACTCATTGAACATTTTATTTATAGAATTTACGTTGTATGATTTTGTACATAATGTCTATAAAAAACAAAGTTATGAAAACACTTAAAAAAGTCATATAATGTTTAAACTAAAGCATAGGAAAGAACAGAAGGATCTCTCCACTAATGCCTTATATGTTTAGGAAATGTACACTGAACCAAACGTCTAAGTATTCACCTAACATTTTCAAGTTTTAAAGAACAAATGCATACAATAAATAATTTCTTTAATCCATGGTTAAAGATGCATATTTCAGTTCGATGTTGCGTAAATTACATGTAAGTAGTATCGTCAGAATTTTAAGCAGTGTCCAATGGGATTCCGATCCGCGAATTTGACAGTGCATCATCACACAGAGGCTTTTTGGTCAATATCCGTGGGCATTTAGCACTTAAGTGCACCGCTTTAAGGATGATTCAGACTGCTTGAGTTGATATGGGACTGTCACGAGCACCGATTTCTTATTATTTTCATACGATTGAATCTTTTTGTTTTATGTTTCGAAGAGTGTTTCAGGACAATTTAACAGTTTTAACCTGGTGTGACGCGAAATTTTGGCTTCAGACGTGATCAAGGTCCCTTCCGGTTTGGTTAAATTTTGTCCAAAGCTTTAAAGTGTGTTAAATTGGCGATGAAAATGACGCACAACCTATAGAAAAATGTGTTTAAATGGGCTCTGATACTGTTTTTTAATTTTTGTCCCCCGCTTGAAAAGTGGGGGATATTAATTTGGGTATGTCCGTCCGTCCGTCCGTCTTTCTGTCTGTCTGTAACGCTTTCGTTTCCACACGATATCTCAGGAACCCTTTGAGCTTTTGCAATGAAATTTTGCATAGCAACTCCCTATGGACTAAAGAAGAACCCTTTTGATTTTGAGGTCAAAAAGTCGAAGATCAAGGTCATAAATTCTCTCTGTTATAACACTTTCGTTTCCGCGCGATATCTCGAGAACCCTTTGAGCTTCTGTAATGAAATTTTACATAATAACTCCCTGTGGCTTAAGAAAGACCACTATTGATTTTGAGGTCTAAAGTTTAAAGTTCAAGGTCATAAATGTATACATTCTGTTTGTGTGTAACACTATCGTTTTCGGGCGATATTTCATGAGGATTTTAAGCTTTTGCAATGTAATTTCATACCAAAATTCCCTTGGACCTCTCTCACCCCTCTCAAAGTGTCCCGCCCCGTTTGTTTTATTAGTATTTATTGTATTACATGTCGCTATTTTTAGCACAGGGGCATAAAAGGAGAGTTATTACGTATAAAACAGGTTCCTGGCGGACTTTATATTCTTATTACATCTATTAGAACTGTTTAATAAAGGTTAAATTAGACACCATGTATTGTGTAAAATTTTGACAATATCGAACGTGAATATATACATGTATGTGACTTCATCTTAGCATATAATTTTCGTCATAGTACAGCAGTTCCGTGGTATAGTGGTATGTCTCTCGCTTCACATGTAAGAGGTCCCGGGGTCGATTCCAGGACGATCCATTTTCTTTTTTTCCGAAATACTTTTTTTTAACTAAATGATAGTATTCAGCATCTGAAATGAAAAATTCATGAGGTCTAGCTTGTACAAACTCATAAAATCATCATTACAGTGTGATAAATATTCCATATAAAAAGAATCTTCTATACACATAATTAAGAATGAGCAATCAAATCTTTATATCCATATTGACATATTTTATTTGCTTCAGTATATATGTATACATTTAAGAATCCGACTCTCTCTCTCTCCCCCCCCCCCCCCCCGAACTGCGCGCATGGTTTACTTTTTCCCTAAACGGGGGACACAAATAGCTTGTTAATAGTAATATCAAGGACAATTAAACACTAAAATAAAAGTGAGTTAAACGCAGTGCAAGGATGGTTCAGATATAAAAATTCCAACGGCTTTTGCTTCTATCTCAATGGTCATTTTGCCAATGTTTTGTGTTTTTTTTAGTGAAACCAGTTTTTAGAATGATTACAAAAAGATGCTAATATTACAAAACACGTGCTGCATAGTATAGATTTATTGTTTTTAAGCTTCGTCATGGAACATTGGTTTTCATCGGTGATATTTGATTTTCTTTTTACAATTGCAGAGATAACTCATTTGTTATAATAAATTGAAAATTTCAAATCATTCTATAAAGTAGCTCTTAAATAAATACATTTATTAAAGTGAACACTTAGAAGTTTTGTTAAGTGTACATGATAAACGAGATGCATTGGTTTCGAAGAATCAGAATATCTTCACTTTTGTATTTGAGGTACACATTGTAAGTAAAGAAGAAATGTGTTTGGTTTGAATTTAAAATTTTTTTCAATATTTATTGGTTTATAGAATTATGACGTCATTACAAATTTAGAGTCATTGTACTAAGAACAGTAGGGTTTTTATATTTAGTCGAAAAACACAAGTTTTAGTCATCAGTGTAATCAAACTATGCACTTGATGGACATCCTTATTCTTATGTTTGCCAAAAAATATTGTTGTTCTGTCAAAAACTACATACATGTTAAACTTACATACACCTCTTCAATTTCACCACAAAGCTCTTTTAATAAATGGCATTCAACAAAATGTTCAACTGACTCAATCTTACAGAAACTGCAAGCTGGAGACTCCTTTAACTTAGTTTAAAAAGATATAAATGTGTTGGAACTATTCTATGTAAAATTCAAAATTGTAGTCACTGAAGTTTAGATTCTTGTGTAATTTTAAATGGAAGTTTAAAAACTTTACTCCAATACGGCATGGATAATTTATATAATCATAATACAGTATACCAGAATACACCAGGAAGTATGAGCGGGATTTGCTTCATCTACATCTATATCTGACGTACGCTCGAAAAAAAAACCTATATAAAATTTTTGAAAGGACTTCAGATTTCATTAATCATTTCAGATCATTATGAATAGGCTGAAAAGCAGTTGACTCTAAAAATGTTATTCTGGATCTATGCTGGAACCATTGTCCTTTTGCAATTATTATGCCAAGCTAAAGGTGAGGTTGCCATTTGCCTTTGTAATCTGTAAAATAAGAGAAATTTGTAGTTCCATTTTAACTAAAATTAACGATCAACTTCCAGGTAAGGATTTATGTCTTTGTGTGTTGTTGGTTTTAACCGTTAAAGGATAAGAGGACAACCAGTTGATTTTGAAAGCAAAAGTGTCGGTGGTTAAAGCTGGCAAATTTTTTGGTTTATACTATTTATATTCATGCCAGTCAAGAACAAGTAAATTTTCCAAACATCAAATTCTAATTCAGTAAAGGGTGTATGAAATCAAGGTCAGATTAAGAATATGGGGGATATTTATAGGTCCGTGTATAATGGACTTGAAAACTGTCTGTTATCTTCATATATTTCATGCAATGGGTTTTTAAGGAAAAGATCCTGTTTAATTATAAATATTACATTTACGCCTAGGAAAAAAAAATATTGTTAAACGAAATAAATTTCTTTTACTAACTAGTGTATTTTTTTGAAAAGTAAACATAATTTCCAAAGTAAAAAAAACAAACAATTTTTTTCCTTTACTGAAGAAAATTGAAGGCAGTCTCATTAAAATCCAACCTTCACTAGTTCCGTTTTATTTTGATTGTCGCGCACCACGTTACAATCAGAATAAAAAGGATCTAGTGGACAATCAAACTAAAAAGGATCTAGTGAAGGTTGGATTTTATGCAGAGTGGGTAGACGCGGAGTAAGTATCAATCAAGTACAATTTTCCCGAAAATATCGACAAAATTAAACGCTGTTGTTTCATGATAGCATCAACGCTAAAAGTTGGTTTAAAACACAAACCAAAATCAATTGTTTCATGATACTCAAACCATTCACCTTTAAAGCCAGTGGGCCTCTTGTTTTTCTTCAAAATTTACCCTTAAATCAACAAGAGAGGAGTCTTACACCCCCCTTCCTCCTTCCAAGAAACAATAAAAACTGTTCATTTTCAAAACCAAAGTTAACTATAGTTAATGCTTTGATTTACTTTACTTTACCACTTTGTTTTAAAGATTTGGAGCCTTCATATTTCTAAACTTACATACCAATGATTTTTTGCAGGATCATATTCATATAGAAAGAATATTTCTTTAATATCAGAAAATCTTTTGATGGAATTGTCAAAGAATATTTTTAATCTGAAAATCATAGTAAATAAACTTTGATATACTATGGTGAAAACTTTAATTAACTGTATTATTTAAAGTGCTTTTTTGTTTGGAAAATTATGAAAATAAATAACGATATGAAGTGATTATGCTAAATTAAAAGCTCATTAAAAAAACAAAATCAAATGAGCGAATCTAACACAAACCTCTGAAAATAGAAGTAGGATCACGTGGCATGGAACACGGAAATATAAATTGAAGCAATGTAAAAACAACTAGAGCCGAGCTCGTTGCAAAGCAACGAATAGGTCTTCCGTTGGAGCTACGGAAAGGAAGAAGTAACCTTGAGTCTAGGTCAAACCATTCTTAAGTTATATAGGTAAGCAACCTAAAGGCTTGTTAAGGAAGCAACTTACAATGTGTCGCCAGGAAAAAGGCTGAAAAGGAATTTTATGTGCATGACCTTGAACTTTATAAATGACCTTGCGACAAGCAATGACAAACTCTGTTATAAAAATACATAATACTTGTGTTACCGACTAGAAAAGTTCACGTATGTTTTTAGATATTCTCTTAGTTAATACATCCACCCAAAATATCTTATCTTTAGTGACCTTGAACTTGAGTCAAGGTCATACCCCACCCTGCATTATATCAGCAATGTTTCACTGGTACAAATACGGTTGAGAATTTAAAGTTTCTCTGTCAGTAACATTGACTCGTCCAAAAGACTGGATATGTTCAGTCAAATTTTTTTCTGAATATATATCGAATGGAAAGAATTTATTAGGTTCAAAACTATGATTTACATAATGATTTAACTAGAAATATATCTATAGGACATGAATGCCCCGCCGAGTGTATATTTATATAATAGTGTTGTGTTTTGCGTGCACTATGCCTAAATAGTAGTCAGGGTTTGACACATGGTGCACGAGCCGGAGGCGAGCGTGCACTATGTGTCAAACCTTGACTACTATTTAGGCATAGTGCACGCAAAACACAACACTATTGTTATTATTATGCTGACTGTGTTCCTGTATAAAAACGGCAATATTTTCTCCATTCCCAATGTTTCAACACCTTATTCATTTGTCTACTCTATTATGACGTCACCTTGTGCAACATGTACGTCATAATCTTTTTCTTTAATTTTGAACGTTCCATGCTTTAGGTAAAATCTACAGATAGTTTTAGAGAATAGTATTTGAGTGAAGGAAGGATGGTTGCAAGAAACTATTTTAGACGAGTTATTTTGCTTATTTTAAATCTTAGTGCAAAATATTTGAAATTATTATACCTCTACTGTAATTACTCTTTATAAAATTTATACCATAAAACTGTCTATTTTCCCGAGAAGAGACTACTTCACTAATCTGAAGACTACTCCATGGAAAATCAGAGCTACTCCCTTGGACTACTCCCTCATGAATATCTATTAGTAATTTCAACCAATCAAAGTCTTCAGTGGGCGGAGCGTTCAAGGAAACTCGAGTCTGTGACGTCATGTTTTTAGCAATTTAACTATGACGTCAAAACATTTCGACATGCATGCGATGTCAAAATCATACTTGAATTCTAGCAAAATTCTAGCAAAATGTAGACACGATAATTCTTCGAAATATCAGTGAAAAAAACTTTTTAAAAATAATTTAATTGTTTTAGGACTCGATACATTACTTATCATGCACTCTGTTAAACTGCATGCATTTGTAAATATTTACATTTGCAAATGTTTTCCTTTATATAACACTACTGAAGGCAAGCGATTTTATAACTGTGTAAATACAGGTATGGGGTCAAGAGGTCATTGATGTGCGTTTGGATAAACGTTCGACGTAATTTCTCTGTGACGTCATAAAGGGTCGACGCGCGTTTAGTGGATTACATACATGCCGTTGGGTTTGAAAAATTAACGCATTTCACACGTTAAAAGTAACAATCAGGCAAATATAAAGTATGAATAAGTCACAAATGTAAATATAAGTAATAAGGTATCATTTTTTGAGTTTTATTGAGATGTAAAACGGGTTGGCACATGATCAAATCTTCCATAAAGCCCTTCGGGCTTTATGGGATTTGATCACGTGACCAACCCGTTTTACATCTCAATAAAACTAAAAAAATGATACCTTATTTCTTAATTATGCCTCTACGGTGTTTTTTAAATCTCGGAATATTGGGGGTAAAATTAAATCGCCTATGATTGTTTCGGTATAATAAAACAGTTATGGAATGTGAACTCGAGAAATAGCAAATTTATGGTTCCCCGAGGGAGGAAACTATTTCCCTCGGCGGCTTCGCTATCAGCCCAAGGCCTTCATTGTTTCCAGGTAAGTCCAGACTGCATCTATTTAAATTTACGCTTGATTGGCGTGTATACAAGCGCAATCAAAATTCGAGAGATAGAGAGTAAAATTCAACGAAATATGTGTAACGGGACCCAGGTTTTGGTTCGAGAGATAGAGAATTTCGAGAGATAGAAGTTCGAGAGATCAGGAGTAATTTTGCTTAGTTATATATAGAGAAAAAAAACGGGACCGGATGTTCACTTCAAGAGATCGGAGTTCAAGCCATCGAGAGTCACCTGTATTTCAAATTGCTTTGGTTTGTTCAGTAAAAAATAAAAATAGACTTTATTGTTTAAATGTCTAGTAATAAAATTCAATAAAAATAGACTTTATTGTCAAAGTGAAATCGCAAAAATTAAAATCGCAAAAAATAGATATATCTATTTCAGGATCAAATCTCAAAAAATTGCACCCGCATTAAAAACCAGTTATACGGTATATATATATATATATATCAAAGTTATCTTGTATCCTCAGTTATATAGATTTACTGGAATTAAGGGGAAAAGTTAAGCACCAAACAAAGATTTTAAACATAGAGGCTAATTCTGACCATGACCTAGAAACTTTGACCAATTAAAGTCACTGCACATCCATTGACCAATGGCACTCTGTGAGTGAAATATGAGCAAGATTGGGCCAAGGAGAGAGAAGATATGCTCCAAACAAGGATTTTTCATATAATTCTGCTATGACCTTTGACCAAGAAACATGGTTCAAGGTCACTGCACACCGGTTACCCAAAGGCACTCTGTGGGTGAAGTATGAGCCAGATTGGGCCAAGGAGAGAAAAGATATGCTCCGGGCAAGGATTTTTCACACAAGTCTGCTATGACCTTGACCTTTGACCTAGAAACATGGTTCAAGGTCACTGCACACCAGTTACCTAAAGGCACTCTGTGGGTGAAGTATTAGCCAGATTGGGCCAAGGAGAGAGAAGATATGCTCCAAACAAAGATTTTTCATACAAGTCTGCTATGACCTTTGACCTAGAAATATGGTTCAAGGTCACTGCACACCGGTTACCCAAGGGCACTCTGAGGGTGAAGTATGAGCCAGATTGGGCCAAAGGGAGAGAAGATATGCTCCGGACAAGAGATCTCGGACGGACTGACGGACGGACAGCCGGACGGACGGACAGACTGATCACTATAGGGCGCCCGCTGAGCGGGGCCCTAATAAAATACATTAACACGGAATAGAGAGATAATTTTGCGTGAACAGGCCAAAGAAAGCGATCAAAATTCAAAATGATTTTATGGTACACTAGTGACCTCGATCGGCAGCGTGGGATCGCGCGTTGGATTACATAACTGTTACAAACATCTCGGCTGGCGAACGTGGAGATCAACTAAATGATCGTGAATTATTCGATTAATAAAGTTTAAAATTACTTATATTGTTATAAAAATTAACGTAGAAAGATAGATTTAATAAATTCCGATGAAGACGTGTTCACTGTAAAACTAATTAATAATAAATAAAAAAGAAAGACTAATTGTTATAAATAATTTAATAGTGAACCGTAAAGCATGTATAAAGACATTTTTAGAAGAAAATTAACAGTAAATACCATAGGGTATATTATTGATAGGAAGTTTGTGTAAATTATACAAATGAAGAGGTCTGATTTCCTTTCCGAATGCGAAACGTTACCTGTTTACCTGGCCTGCTTTCTACTTCGTGTTACGCAATAACCCCGGTATAATCAAGCAAAACAACATTTTCATCAGATTAAAAAGGTGTAAAAGAACAATTTTGATCGTAAAATCCAGATCGAAATTTTTACCGTTTTTGAGTTATAAAGCAAAAGCTTTCAAGTTCCCTAAATCCCTAATTATAGGGCAAGCCCCTTTTGAATAGTATTATATGAAAGCCCCTGCAATTATGCACAACTTTTGTTCTACATGTCTTAACAAAATAATTTTAGTTTTCAAGATTTAAAGGAAAATATGTCAATTCTTTTGCTGTTTTCGGCGTTCTAACTTTTGATCCCTCTCTAGCGCCATTTTTAATGCAAAAATCAAAAAACAAAAACCGATGTGCACAACTTCAATGCTTCCTCTTTTCAATTTCAAAGGGTTTTGTGCTCCAATTATTACCTTCTCTGAGCCTTTGTCTGGAATACAGAGGTATGAAAAATTCAATCAAAGAGGAATAACTCTTAAATAGAAGGTCATTTCCAAATTGTGTAACAGTATTCTAAAAGGGTTTTAGAAAGTCTAGAAGCTCTGAAAATTTGAACAAAATCCGTTGAGGAATGAGGAAGATATGAAGCGTCAAAGTTGGCGTCTAGGAAAAAAAAAGAATAATAAGAACTAGAGCCGAGCTCGTTGCAAAGCAACGAATAGGTCTTCCGTTGGAGCTACGGACAGAAAGACGTAACCTTGAGTCTAGGTCAAGCCACATTCTAAAGTTATACAAGCATACAACCTAAAGGCTTGTAAAGGAAGCAACTTACAATGTTTCGCCGGGAAAAAGACTGTAAAGGAATGTATGTGACCTTGAACTTTCTATATGACCTTGCGTCAAGCAATGACAAACTCTATTATAAAAATCTAATATGTGTGAAACTGACTGGAAAAGTTCACACATGTTTTTTAGATACTCTTTTAGTCCATACATCCAGCCAAAACATCTTGTCTTTAGTGATCTTGAACTTGAGTCAAGGTCATGTCCCACCCTGCATTATATCAGCAATGTTTCTCTGGTACAATTACGGTAGCGAATTTACAGTTTCTCTGTCAGTAACCTTGACTCGTCCAAATGACTGGATAAGTTTAGCCATATTTTTTTCCTGAACATATATCGAATCGAAAGAATTTATTAGGTTCAACAATATAATTTTACTTAATGATTTAACTAGAAATATATCTATTAGACATGAATGCCCTACCGAGTGTATATTAGTAAATAATGCAACATTAAAATCTGTATTTACTAGTGTAACGGGAGAGGAGAAAATGCAGCGGACCAGACCGGGATTCGAACCCGGGCTGCCCCCCTGAAACTTCGGTCAGGTGCTCAACCACCTGAGCTATCTGGCCACCGGCGATCGAACCTGGCTAACCGCCACACTAGTGTATGACGTTTGTTGAGAATATCTTGAATAGTTTTTTAAAAATTGAAATCTTAAAAAATGGATATAGATTATAAAATCCCCTTCAAATAATGCATAAATGCCTAAGCTTACATAAAAATATCTCAAATAGTTTCTTTAATACTAAGCAAAATGCAAATCAGAGACAAGTGAGGTCAAGGTAACAGGAAAGTGCAAGGTCAAAATGTATCGGCATACTAAAGTTTGATAAAAATGTCTTGAATGGATTCTTCAAAACTGAGCTTTGCCCGTGTGGCACAGTGGTTAGAGCATCTGTGCTAGACTAAGGTTTGGATAGCTCTCAGAAGTGTGTATCAGCATATGAAGTTAAGTATAAATATAAATGCTCTTTTCAAAACTGAGCTAAATTCTAACTTAAGTAAAGTGAGATCAAGGTTAAAGGAGAGGTCAAAGTAAAAAAAATACTGATTTAGTTGAACAGCTAACATCAGTATGTATCACCATAAGAAGTAAATGAATACTCAGTCTTGAATGGTTTGTTTCTAATGAGTTAAACACTAACCTGAGAAAAGTTAGGTTAAGGTCAAAGGAAAAGTACAAAAAATTTTGATGCAGTTACACAGTAGCCTTGTACGTATATATTTGCACATATCAGTACATGTATATCGACACATGAAGTTTGATTATACTATCTTGAATGGTTTCTTTAGACAATTTTTTTAAAAAAATGAGGTCAAGTTCAAAGGAAAGGTCAAAGTCAAAATATGTTGATGCAAGAAAATAGGTTGTGACTTTCTCTTGGAATTCAATACCAGCCCCAGCCTACATGTATACTGGTGTCTAATTATATCGCGGTACTTAATTCTTTTTAAAAAGTGTAATTTCAAATTATACGTGTCAAATTATCTTCCAAGTTTGCATCATTTAATTTGTGGACTATTTTAAAAATAGGAAGTCTAATTTACCTATTGCATTGGAGAGTCTCATTGTTTCACGGTATGGGATTACATGGAAATTTGTACATGATATGACCTCAGTTTTTATTTTTAAATTTACCATGTAATTCTACATGAAAATAAACAGCTGTACAATCTAATTAAAACATTTTTTAAAGATGAACTTGATTCTAATTTTTACAAGGTTATAAATTTAATGGTCTAAATATAATAAAAACGGGACTGGAAATCTGTAAAATTACGTTTTATTTGAATTTTTTTCAAACAGACGGTCCATGCTTTTTAAACGTAAACATTCAGAAAAACATACAAATTGTCCTTCAACAAAAAAAAAAAATTACTCTATGTATTCGAAATTTTGCAAGATATCCCGATACAATGAATCCCGCAATATAATGAGAATCCAGTACACATATACCTAAACAAATCAACCGATTGACATTCTCGGCTCAATGACTGACCAGAAGGAGGTTAACATTACCGTTATTAAAATAACCCAACATCAGAGCGAACCAATAATTTAGGTACATTTACCTCAAATACACAGAAATGCAATAAGTAAGGAAAGAATTTAATTGATATTAAGTAGAGATAACGATTAAGAGACAGTAATGAAGTTTTCTAATTTTTCTAAAATCGTTTTCTAAAAGTCCGGGATGCATATATTTTGGCGGTACCGCTTTTCTATGTAAAAGTGCATACATGTATATAATTGTACTGACATGTACAAGCATGTACCCGTAAAATCGTGCATTTGAACTATTCCGTGTATTCGACGAAAACAATAACATTTGAAATTTAGTTGCAAAGAACTGCAAACTCAAAATACACTTTTCCTAAGGATTAAGAATAAAATTAAATTTTTGAGAGTGCAAGGATATGTCAATCAAACCCGCCGAAAAATTTGAAATTTCAATATCTTTTAAACGAAATAAGATTTTTAATTAATTTTTGTGTGAAATGCTATTAAAATATATAAGTCGTAATATTATAGAGAAAATAATAACTTCAAATCTGTGTCCAAGTACCTTTAAGTTATACACATGAAGAGGTCTGATTTACTTGCTGAATGGAAACATTACCTGTTTACCTGTCCTGCTTTCTACTAAATATTACGCAATACCCCCGGTATACTCTAACAAAACAACATTTTCATCCGATCAAAAAGGTGTTTTAAAAAATTTTGTTCGCATGATCCAGATGGAAAAATTTACCGTTTTTGAGTTATAAAGCAAAAACTTTCAAGGCCCCTAGATCCCTAAATTTAGGAGCCAGCCCCTTTTGAATGATATCAAATGAAAGCTCTTGCAATTATGCACAACTTTTATTCAACATGTTTTAACAAAATATTTTTAGTTTTCAAGATATAAAGGAAAATATGTCAAATTTTTTGCTGTTTTCCGTGTTCTAATTTTTGACCCCTCTCTAGCGCCATCTTTAATGCAAAAATCAAAAAACAAAAACCGATGTGCACAACTTCAATGCTTCCTCTTTTCAATTTCAAATGGTTTTGTGCTCCAATTATTACCTTCTCTGAGCCTTTGTCTGGAAATCAGAAACATGAAAAATTCAATCAAATGGGAATAACTCAGAAATAGAAGGCAATTTCCGGATTGTGTAACAGTATTCTCTAAAAGGGTTTTAGAAAGTCTAAAAGCTCTGAAAATTTGAACAAAATCCGTTCGGAAATGAGGAAGATATGAAGCGTCAATGTTGGCGTCTAGGAAGAAAAAATAAAGAATACTAAGAATAATCTTAATCATCAGAATCAGTAGAAGGTCTTCCTTTGGAAACGGAAGACCTTAATAATCTTAATCATCAGAATCAGTAGAAGGTCTTCCGTTGGAAACGGAAGACCTTAATAAGATAAATCTTGTAACAAAACAAGATTTTTTTTATATCAGTAAAATAATTTCGTACGATATACAAGTATACAAATTACATGCTATATGCATATTGTACAATAAAGCTGCTCTGTGTTGTTGCTTTGTCCAAATGATGTGTTGCTGTTTATTTATATAGGGAAATGACAACAAGATGTTTGTTTTAACCTTTATTTTGGCGAAGATTGGCCGTGGCATAGTATTTTGTGGGATGCTAATTAATACACACAACTTTTGGGCAAACCCACACAAATTCAACAAAATTCATCAAAATAAACAAGTCATATGTTCAAAAAGACCACCCCGGGTAAACCGCGGGTGGTTACTTATTTAAGGTTACTTATTTAAGTATAATTAGTTATATGCACAATTCAAGCACAAAACAAATTATATCAACATATCAGCAAATATTTTACATATAAAATGATTCAACAGTTCAACCCCCTTCACAATTCAATGGTGAAAACTTCACAACAATACAAAGTTTATGTAGGCCTCAGTTGCTTTGGTGTGCGCAAACACATTGCCTTGTTTTGACAGGAAAAATTCTAACCCCCCTTCGATATTATGTAGAAAGAGTTTATTTCCTAGGTCATTGAGATGTACTCCATCTGGCAACAGAAATTGTGACATGTTTTTCAATAAATCAGGGTACTTTATGTAACGACCCCCACCTCTAAAACTAATGAAGCAGCTACCCTAGTGGCCTTAAGACGGGATCGCTCCATTGCTTTATTGTCCCACGAGTACCTCCATTTATTTCGAGGCAGCATCTGTGACCAAACAAGTGTAGAATGTGGAAAGCGAGTCTTAATAATCTTTAGATGGGATTTAATTTTTTCAATGAGAGTATACAGATCAATTGATCCTATATCGTTTGCCCCACAGTGAATAACCAAAACGTCTGGGGATTCCTCGTATTCTGTCAGAAAAAAAAGCTTTCTTTTAGGTCCCAAAAAATTCAAACCTGAATATCCCTGCCACCAGATATTTATTTTCAATCTGTCAAATCCAAGATTTGTTCCCCCCGGTCTGCATACTGCTGCCATCATTGCATTCTTAATAATAGAGGAGCCCACACACCAGACTTAAACTTCAGGGACCTCTACAAATTTATGCGATAATCTGAATAATTCTTGTTATATTTACAAAATTACAACTTATTTGCCCCCAATATTTGCCCAATAGGACATCTTATGTATGATTTGTATGCCCTAGACTTCCAACGCCCTGGTTCCATTTTGACATCTTGTGAACAACCCGATTCAAATGCTGCCGTGGCCCTATAATGTCCCTGAACCCCCAAAACCTGAGTGATTTTTTCAAAACCGAAGAGAACTGATACCTGATAAGGGGATTTTTTCCACAGTGGATAAATAATGGCCCTTTAATTTTTGGTCTTACTGCAAGATAATCTATCAAACTTGCTATACTGGACACAGGATTCCCTCACTTTTATCAATGGCTAAAGAAATCCCCTTTCTATCCTGATCACATTTTGACATTCTTATGTGTACAAAAACCTTGGAGTAATTAGCTTCAAATTGAACATCAGTCACTTGTAAAATTGTATGCACACTATTCCCAGCAGACAATGTGAAATCCCCTAATCTGAGAAAACTAAAGAAGCCTAATAAATAAGCAGCTCTGAACAATTTTGTTTCATAACTATCGCTACAAATGCTCGGTAAAACCCTAACAACTTTAGTAAGCAACTGCAAGGTTATAGGTAGCCTTGCATCTGCAGACCTACCAGTTCTTCTCATACCCTCAAGAACCTTAACAACCAGAAAGTTCTTTGTTTCATCAACCCAATTATGGATTTTGCATTGAAAACTAATAGAAGATAGATAAGATTTAGCCGTAGCATAGGGACACTTCTTTAGTGACAGATAAGCAACAAAGTGAGCAACATCCCTAAGAGTTGGGAGCCATGAAATTTCGTACCCAAATTCTTTCCGGAAATTATAAAATGAATTCTGTCCTGTTTCGCATGCTGTCTTAGTGTTGTAAGAGATTGAAGCATCTAGCAATTTATTCATTTGAATCTGTAAATCATGTTGACTAATTCTACTGGAAGAGGGTCTGGTCTGGTGCTTGCCTCTGGTGCCAACGTCTTGAAGCGGAACCACTGTTTGCGAGAAATAGAATCTGCAATTTTGTTATCCAAGCTACCAATGTGATTTGCCCTAAATATAACATTGCTGATCATCAGTCTAAGAACCAAATGTCTTACCAATTCCATAACTCTTTTGGACTTGGAAGATTGGGTATTGATGACACTAAATAGTGAAAGGTTATCAACATGAAACTGAACTTTTTTATGTAGCAACCTAGGTCCTCATATCTCTATTGCTAAAACTACTGGTATGAGCTCAAGAAAAGTCATGTCTCTCAAAATCTTGGTTGTTCCAGTGTTTTGGCCATTGGAGAAAAACACCAACTTCCACTTAAGTAACCCCCACAACCTAAATGACCTGAACCTGCAAATAACTGTAAAATGCTAGAATCTTCCCATACAGTATTAGGAAAATATGCTACCCCATTGAAATGGTTCAAGAACACCAGCCACATTCTAAGGTCACTTTTAATTCCAACTGATAATCTTATATGATGATGTGGCTTGAAAACTCCACTAAATGCATCATACATTCTTCGAATAAGCTCTACTAGATCTGATTGCCTTTGAGAAAAAATTGAGCATTCCAACTAAAGACTGCATTTCTTTCAGTGTAACTTTTTCCCTATGTAAAGAAATTATAATTAGACTCTTCAGGATTACCTGCAAAAAGGAAATCGTCTAAATAATGATCTAATGTATTCAATCCAGACTTGAACTGAGTAAGCCAGTGTAGAAAAGTTGCAAATGTTTCCCAAACTAATCTGCAACTAATGGAACAACCCATGGGAAGGCATTTATCTATGTAATATAATCCATCTACAGAGAAACCTAACAAGTCAAAATCCCCTGGATTGATTGGAACTAAACGAAAAGCACTTTAATATCCATCTTAGCTATCAATGCGCCCCTTCCTAGATTTGCGATCATATTGACCACACCATCAAAAGATGCATACTGCACTGTACATAAATCTGGATCTATAAAGTCGTTGATCCCCTGGGAACTAGGATAGGATAAATGGGTAATCATTGGCCACCCTCCATCAGATTTAGGGACAATGCCAACTGGCGAAATGTGGAGGTTAGAAATTGGAAGTTGATCAAAAGGACCCATGATTCGGCCAAGCTTTATTTCCTTACTTATCTTATCCATCAATTCATCATGGTGTTCACTTGCAGACTTAAGAGTTTTTGAAAACACGTGACACCTTGGGCCTATATAATTTATTTAAAACCCTTTGAAAACCCTTTTTTTTTAATATAATTAGCAGTATATTTGTCTGGATATGGTTGTAAATATTCATTTAACTTTTCAACATTAATAGGGGAATTTCCTAGGGCCCATATACCTTTGTGGTCTTGGGGTTTGGATTGGGTGTGACATAAGGGGTCTAACTTGGGGTTGCCCTGCAGTGGTCCACTTGGGTAACTTGTGGACTTCCGAACATAATTAGATTGAGGGCACAAATATTGTAGATGACTCCCAGAACATTCAATACACTTGTGCATATACTGGCAAGAAGGTCTGTTCACAATGACCCTTGAAGTTCAAATTATAGCACTTGTTGTAGGCTGGGCTGTTTGATTTAATTGTTATTGTAGATTGTGGGGATGATGGCATAAACATCAACCATAACTCATAGTCTACTTAGACCAATCTGTGGTGGGATCGATACTGCGTCGAAATCGAAACTGCTCATCACATTTCTTCCATCCCAAATCCCCCTCCCCACATCTTGATGCCCCGAGTCTTTTGTCATGTAAATATTTCAGCAAACCCTGATAAGATTCTGGGTGGGCTGAAGCATAAATGCTAGCGTAAACTAAGAATGCATCTGTCCATCTACTGATATTTTGAATCTTATTGCTAGGTTTAACAACCTCTCTTGTGACCAACTCCCCTTTTTCGTTAAAAATATTTTTTCTCTGAAGATTCTGTCAGGGAAGTGTTATCGAGCAACAAACTAATCTCTATGTATGCTGAACTAATGATTTTAGACTTCAACGAGTAAGAGACATTGCTAGCCAATAGTGAATGAATGCTATCTACATATTGATTCTCATAACCAATGCTTGTACCTGATTGAGATTCAATGGCCAAAGCAGGCACAGGTGCTGGAGACGGTGGGGGAGAGTTTGACTTTCTGGCACCAACTATATTCTCTTGGGCGGCGATGCTTCCTGAAGGACCTGGTTCCTGTACTGTAGGATTATCGTCAACCGCTACCGCTGGTCGCTCTTGTCTTGATCTCTTTGACCTTGATGCTTTCCCCTCGTTGTCTCTCAGTCTGCAATTCCTCTCAGTCTTATTTTTGGGAGACATTTCCGCTCGTTAGAGTAAATAAAAAACAAAAAATTACTAATTGTAATTCACCAGATACAAACTTTTTTGATGAATTTGCAACGGGCAAAATTAGAAACAATTTATTCAAAATGGCTGTCGTGTCACATTAAATCGGGCTGTAAATCCAGCACAATCCATAGAAAATATATACACTGGATTAAAATAGTATTAAGAACAATCAAACGGTATTATCCATTAACCAAAATTTAAATATATTTAATCCAATGCAAAAAATTTCTTAAAAATATTATGAAAAAACTTGACAAAGAAATATTCAACCTACTCTGTATCCAGCAAGTTGATGAAAAGAATGTTGATTCTGAGCTTTCCGATTTATATAATACCCAAGGCCGCAGGCCGATCCCGACCAAAAAATTAATACCTTTTCCCGTAAAATAAAGTCATTTGATTTTATATGCATAATATAGATGATATTATTGCACTTTCATTTTATTTTCTTACGCTAGGGCCATTGGTGCGGTTGGCATTGAATCAAACTATTGATACACAAACCAGAGGAACGCTTCAAATTTATCACAATGGTGAATGGGGTTACATTTGTGACAGTGGATTTGATGAGAATGCTGCCAAAGTCGCCTGTCGAGAATTAGGGCTGTCAACGTAGGGATTTTTAAATAATACATGAACATTTTATTTTAATTTATATTCATATATAATAAGTACTAGGCATTTATAGAAAACATTTGAAATAGCAAATATACCTGTTTACCTTACAACAGCTTTGAGGTATTTTTACAAATTTTCAAATACAGATATACCCTTCCTTACATTTCAAATTTAGATATGTTTAAATTTTCTTTGTAAAGATAGTTCTATATACTCAAAACTTCGAATTTACTATAGTCTGGTCCGATTAATAGAAAAAAAAAATACTTCCAACGGCAAATAATTATTGTTTGGTCCAGCATAGTATTTTAACCTATTTCGAGTATGCTGAATCCGAAAAAATATGCTGGCCTTCATGAAAATGGCGTTAAAAAGGTCAAAATGGCGATTCAAAATGGCGGACATCCAATTTTTCTAATTTTCTCTTAATGTCGTTCAAAAAAGAGAAATAATGTGTGAATATCTCACTGAGTGTAATGCAACAATAAAAATGATAATAGAATGCTAACATCATTACCTTAACTTAGAAAATTTAGTCGTTTCTATATTTAATTCGAATTTTCTCTGATTTATTTGTCTATTGTTTATATATTCTGCTTTGTTCACGATTTTACATTTGCAAACATCAATACACTGCAGATTTGTATTTTTTCTCTTAATCTCAATGTTCTACAACTGACTGATGGTGCAGCTGTACGTTATAACTCAAAAATGGCTATTCAAAATGGCGGATATTCATTTTTTCAAATTATTTCTCACTGTTTAAATAGGAGAAAGGATTTGTGAATTTCTTACTGAGCGTAGTACAAATATGAAATGACAATAGAGCACTAATACTATCACTTTAATTCGGAAAATTTGATCGTTTAAATTTGAAATGTGTTAATTAGCTCAAAATGGCGATTCAAAATGACGAGCACTCGATTTTCGTAGAATACTCACAATGCTTGATTATGAGTCGTTTGGCAGAAAATAAATTTATTACTAAGTAACAGTTTGTTATTTTTTTAGATTAATAAAATAATGTTCAAAAATTCAATTAAAGTTGTGGGAAATTGTTGTTAATGGCTTATGATTTTTATGACGCGGGTATTTGTTTAATTACTTTTATCATTAAGATATACGAGGGGTGTCCGTAAAGTTTGTGGACAAGCTAAAATTTATATAAAAATGGTGTCATTGATATTTATTATTAGCATATCTATAATCCTTAACTAAATGTAAATTTAAAAATGTGAAATTATATTCAATTTCAAATATATAATTACAATTATGACTTCATTATTAGACTTGGGATGAAAAACCCGGAGCACCGCAAAATTTTAATTTAAAAGTTATTTATCACTTTATAATTTTCATTTGTATTTTGTAAAATTCCGCAGAAATTTGGATTGCTTTTACATTACGTGGTTGACAAAAGTAATAACTGAAAACCTGCAAAATTTAAACGTTCTGCAGAATTTAGAAATGGCTGAGAAATCGAGGTTATAATCTATTGAGACAGGCTCGTTATTGTTTTAAAAAAGGGACTTTTTCGGAAAAGGTGGAGCAGAGAGCAGTGAAAAAATTCTGCGTAGACATCGGAAAAAACACCAACAGAGACCCATAAATGCTGTAAACCATAAGGAAAATATAGGAAAGGAAGCCGTTCTTGAGTGTTTTTAAAAGTGGAATATAAAATTTTCGGACAGAAGGAACAGTTAACAGGATGACAAACGTGAAGGAAGACTATAATTCCGAGATTGCAGTGCTGTAAAAAATGAATTTCGTAACGTGATGTCTTTGTCGTACTTCTGTAGATAAAGTCGTTTTTCCGCGGATAAAGGCTTAATAATTTGCAGGATCTGAGATAGGAAGTATTTTAAAAATATTATTTATGCCCATCTTCCTGATACTCGCACTAAAGGTTGCTCTGTTTGATGTAATATCCCTTACCGAAAATATTGCCTTCCTGCAAACATTTGCTGCAAGTCTGCAGCAAACATTGCTGCAAGCTTGCAGCAGACATTGCTGCAAGCTTGCGGCAATGAAGCCAAAGAAAGCATGACAGTCTATACAAAGCCTTGGTGTTTGCAGCAAGTTAGCGGCAAGTCTGCAGCAAGCTTGCTGCAAACATTTTACCATGCAAATGAGGTTTGCTGCAAGTTTGCAGCAAACATTGGATTTTCCAAATATGGAAACCTTGCTGCAAGCTTGCGGCAAACATTGCTGCAAGCCTGCTGCAAACATTGCTGCAAGCTTGCGGCAAACATTGCTGCTAACTTGCAGCAAACATTTTCCATATGGTTTTGGCACACTCCTGTGTACAAGCAGCAAGTTCGCAGAAAGCTTTTGTCCTGACCTAAATCTGTTAAGTGTAGAGAACATTCAACACACTTTCTGAAATGATGCAATTTTATGAAGTTTTGATAGGCTTTCTTTATGTTCCTTGAAAAAGTATTTATACTTTTTAAAAATCAAAGTGCATGATAGATTAATATATGAACAGAACTTCAAGAACCTTACATATAAGTTTTAATTGAACATTACCGTGATTACACAGTTACTAATTGATTTGAAAACTGATTTGGGTCCATTAATTAATACATTTAAGAAATATACATAAGTGATTTAAAAACAAAAGGACCGAAATTCATAATAAATACATTTAGATTTGACCTAGTGTTTACAACGTACAGTTACTCAAACATGCTTTTCAGAAATATTCTTTCAAATATCAAAATAAATCAAAATCATCTCTTACCAATTAGATATCATGGATGCCAATGAACACCTACATCCAGAGTTTGGCCCTTTTAATCATTCAAAACGGTGTTTATTCCTAGCAAAATACTGAAACATGTACAACTTCAATTCAAACATTTCAAAATTGCCAGTTCTGTGTTGACCCAGTACAATCTGCATTTCATTGGCTGATTTGACTTGTTTACTGTTCTAGCGAACTTCCTGCAAACATTCGAATAATGAAATGTTTCCTGCGATCTTACTGCGAACATTAAATTGGTGTGTGTGTTTCTTGCAATGTTCCTGAAAACTGAAAAATGTTGGGTTCCTGCGAATTTGCTGCAAGCTTGCAGCAATTGCTGCAATGTTTGCGGCAAGATCGCAGCTAGCGGCAATCATCTGCAAACAAGAAAATTTTCTTCCTGCGAACAATTTTGTTTGCTGCAAGCTTGCAGCAGACTTGCTGCAGGCTTGCAGCAAACATATCAGTTTGGTAAGGGATTACACTATCTGATAACAACACAACACCGTTTGAAGTTGAAAAAGGTCATTTATTATTAAATGACAATTTTGTGAAAATTATTACAAAATTGAAAAAGTAGCTTAATAGATTTACATTAATAAACCTTGCAGTGATACCAATATCACTACATGCAACTTCCAAATAGATCAAAACATTACTATATAAAATGTTTACATCAAAGGTGGGGTAAGGTAAAAATGCCAATTACTGCCAATGACAGGCAGAAATGACTGTCATCAGCAGTAATCCCCACCCAACCATAGTGCGAGTCTAAATCGTACTACTAAACATGTATCCCTAAAAATTCATACAGCAATCCTGGATACAAACAATGAAAAATAACACATTACCAACATACAAAGAACTATTTCAACTCTAGTAAAACAATACCATCTTATTATGTACACAATCTTTGATCGATGCATAATTACATCAAAGCTTTACTACTTCTTGATACAACCAGATGCTCATGTCATCATGATTGAAAATGTTTTTTCTAAGCCAATGTCCTCTTTCCGGAAACATATAATGTGTCAAACTTGTCCAAATATTTTGACAATTGTCAAAACCCCTCATAACACTCATATTTCTCTATTACTGGTTTGATATTTATTTTACAATCAGATGCTCCTGTCACCATGATTGGGTATAATTTTGTGACAAATTAAGACAATTGATTGAAATCAACCAAACAGATAAACAGATTAACAAATTATCACTATTTTATAGGAACCCAACTTAAAGTAGCTTTGAAATGTCATGAATTTATAATCTGACCAGATGCTCCTGTCACCATGGTCGTTACCTCAACCTCACCTCGGTAGCATTAAAGATTTACAACAGGGATTCAAATGTACTTTTTGAAAGCGTCTGATGACCACCGTCCCATTGCTTTAATTTTTTGCTCTGGAACTCCATTGGAAAAAGCCGTTGTGGCTGCTATTATTCTAAAGCTGTGATCTTTATATCGTTTACAGTCTAACCCACACCAAGTTAATGACAAACATAACTGATCTGTAAAATATTTCCGTGACACTGGTGACAATTTAAAAAGAGGACCAGAAGTTGGTTTTCTTACTTGAAAATATGTCCATAGGGCCTGAACGGGACATATTGTGTTATCTTTGCTGTTACTTTCCACATAAAAAGTATAAGATTGACCTTTACTATGTTTGAAAGTTTTCATAGTTAACTCAAACCCTATTGGGCAGTCTGAAGTATTTTCTAAAAAATGTACAGATTGTACTGTCAATGAATGACAATTTCTGTCTGTTGAAGCTGTAAATTCTCCAATCCTAAGAAACAGTAAAATGCCACTAAATACATACTTTTCATAAGTACCTGTACAAAATATGAACTTGCTGTATGTGGTAAAGAAGCTATCAGCTGTTTAAGAATGCTTGGTGTTATAGGTAACCTAGGGTCCACTAAGCTTGTTTTATTCTTGTAACCTTGTAAACATTTTTTCACTAAAAACTTCTGAGTTGGGTCTGTTACGGATTTTTCCCCATGACTAAAAGTACCCACAGCTTGGATCACCCCAATTATGTCCTGAATATTTAATCTACGTATCGTAATTTTATTTGTAGATATCATGGGAATATTATCAATCATCGTATGTTATTAATGTATGCTTTATAATTCATTGTCTATGTTTAATTCATGAATATCGTTGGTTTTATTGTACACAAACCCGAATTTCTTCCATAGATTAGCCCAATCGTAATAACAAATGACCGTCTGACATTGTTATTCGACCCAGGTACCCAAATCCAACTTGGCATCGTTTCCAAAACAATTCCCAAACAACAAATCATCCCTTTTCCCGCATTTGTAATGCTAAAGCCTTTACTTGATGCAAAAGTTGTTAGTGTTACCATACAAACGTCGCGCGAATACTGGCGGTACCGCTTGTTATTCGCGCGTGAACTAATTCGCACCGGAATACCAAAAGGTATATAAAGAAGGCACTTTAGACTTTTTCTTCAGTCTGGGACGTTGGTCAGACTCGTAAACATCTGGCCAGCTCAGAGAATCCCAACTCCCCATAATTGGGTAAAATCCAATGCCCCAATATTGGGTAAATTTGACCCAATATCAAATCTTGGGTAACCCAATCTACCCAATTATTACATATCCTAACCCAACCTGAATCAGCTGAACGTATTATCCCATTGTTGATATTGAGGAACCCAATCAGCTGACTATTATATATCCTGTACGATTATCCATAAGTAAACTCTGTTTGTATTTAATTAATTATAAATTATTAGTGTTATTGTTTGAATAAATTCATTTTTTATAGATAAACAAATCTTGTTGATTAATTAAGGTAAATCACAGGAATAAGAGGACTCACATAATTTTTGTAACACCCAAGATCGGGTCACGTTACAATTTGGTGTCAGAAGTGGGATATCCATTTGCTTATTTCTGTTTACCAAAATTTTTCTATTATAAAGACAAAAGAATTCTTAAATTTTTGTATATTTTTATTGACCCAATCAATTTTTGTACCCAATATTTACAATGGAAACTGAAGAAAGTTTTGATTCAGAAGTCACTTTCAAATCACGCCCATCCTCGTCCAATGCAGTGGAAGATAATCGGGATCATAATTTACCCTCTCCCAATCTCCAATCTTCCCCAGTGGCATCAGATTTAGTACCGCCTGCAAAGAACAATCAATTAGACATGTTAGTGTCTATGGTGCAAAGTGTTAACCAACAGTTGTTGGGTATGAGACATGAATATCATGAATTGAGAGATCATGTTAATCATTTAGAAAGAAAATTTGAAAACCCAACCTATGACAGGGGAGACTATCATCACACACCCAGTGTCTCAATATCCAGACCCATTCACCCAGTCCACTCTTATGATGATTTCCATCCCCATATTCATACAGACCCAACGAATGGGCAAAGGGAATATACACGTCACCCAAGAACAATGTCGGGTACCCATTATTCCCCCTTACTTGAAATAAATAGAAATGAAAATGGAATGCCTCTCCAATCTACACCCAAAACTCATGTTACCATAAAACCCCAAACATTTGATGGATCAGAGGACTTTGATGAGTACCTTGCCCAATTTGAAATTTTAGTTGACCTGCATGGGTGGGACTATAAAACAAAATCACTGTATCTCGCCAGTAGCCTTACAGGTAGTGCCCGTGCCCTTCTGAGTGAACTGAACGAAATCCAGAGAAGAGATTTTAACTCCCTTGTAAAAATCCTAAATAGGAGATATGGCTCCATTGAGAGATCTGAAATGTTCCGTGCCCAACTTAAAACCAAAAGTAGGGGTACAAATGAATCCTTACCCGAACTGGCCCAATCTATTAAAAAGCTAACTCGTCAAGCTTACCCAACGGCCGACCCAACCATTATAAGCATTCTGGCCCTTGATCAATTTATTGATGCCCTACCAGACCCAGATATGCGATTAAGGTTAAGGGAAGCCAAATCCAAAGACATAAACGAAGCTGAAATTTTGGCCATTCGGTTGGAAACATATAGATTGGCAGACGCCCAACGAAATAAAACTGTTCATGCCATTAACCAATCAGAACCCATCCAAAACTTGCGGGATAACCTACAATCCCTTACCCAAGAAATCAGAGCCCTAGTAAGAAATTGTCAAATGCCTACCCATAATTTGACAGAAACCCCTTATGCAAGTTATGCACACTATGTATATGAAAACTCATACCAAAACCCCTATGCGAATTATTCCAATATGGGCTCATATGAAAACTCCAAACCCAACTACCAAAACAATAGACCAACAAATTATGGACCAAGACCCCAAGGCTCACCCTACCAAGGAAATTCTAACAAATGGAAAAATTTCCCCAAGAACCCAAATCAAAATCATTTCCAACCTCAAAATCAGGGAAACTACCCTACGTCGAATTCGGGGGTCGGAAGTCGACAGGTTCAAGGGGCAGGCCCCAACACTTGCCATTAAATATGGCTCAACCTCTCTCACTAAAATCCGAACCCAATATTGAAAATAAAACAGAATTTGAATCCAAGAAAGATATCCCTTGTACTGAACCTATCCCCAAAGAAATTTTAGTGAGAGATATAAATGGGGGAAATGATGGAATTTATGTTATTGGAAAAATTAGAAATAAAGAAACAAATATACTAGTTGATACTGGCGCTAGTGTGACTATTGTCAGCACCCAATTCTTTGAAAATTTAGATACTGAGGAAAAGCCCCAAATTACCCCAGTATTTATCAAACTTACATCTGCAAGTGGTAATCCAATCCCAGTTAAGGGAGAATGCCCAATCAGAATATCCCTTGGAAACTTTCAAGTTACCCATAAAGTACTTGTGGCCGACATACAAAACCCATGCATATTGGGACTAGATTTTATGAATCAGAATTCATGTGACCTTTTTGTGAAACAGATGAAACTAAAGGTACAGGGTCTAGACATTCCCTGCTTTAGTAAATCTTGTGTAAAAGTTGTGTCTTGTGGCAAGATAAGTCTTGCTGAGGATATTGGAAATCCTCCCCATTGTGATTATGTTGCTCCTGCAAAGGAAGATAACCCTTTATTTAGGGATGAGGTTGGAAAAATAGAACCTATCCCAAGTTTTGTTGAGAAAAATGAATTAACCCCTGTAACTGTGAACAGAGAGGTCACAGTTTGTCACATGAATATGAATGATGATTGTAGCAAAGTACATGAAAATACCCGAAGTGCCACAGTCAAATGTGTTGACACAATACTAGATGTATTGGAAGACCCAACCAATACCCGTACCATTAATGCTTCTAGCCAAAAGCTTAACCCCCAATTTCCAAACCACTTGCAATGTATTGATGTTGAGAAAATCCCCAAAGAAATTATAAATGAACCAAAGCAAGAGTTCCATTTGAATGAAAATTGCCATGAAGCTTTCGACAAACTCCAAAGAGCCCTAACAAGTTCCCCAACCTTGTCTTACCCCAACAATGAAAAATTACAAAATGGTGTTGGAAAATCATATGTGTCATACCCATCACTTAACCGAGACATGATGATCCCTAGTTCATACCTTGCTGTGAGGAAGCCCTCCAAGCCGTGTGATGTACTTCCGGAATTGATCCTGGACATTTCGCAATGACGCTGGATTCGTAATACATAGACGTGCACTGGACCTTTTGGATATTTCAAAGGACTATATCATTTAACTTTGTGAACCGTATAATAATTGTGAATATTTGTAGTGTGGATCAAGATTCGTGAGTGTCTCCGTCGTGACTTTTCTATTCCAATGGATCCAGGATTGGTAAGAAGTGATGAACTGTGATGAACAAAAACATTTTGGTAAAAGTTAATGTATTGATGATTGATGAACTGTTATTCATAATTTTGTTATTCATGCCTATGATTATAACTTGTTGACCACATTGTAATTATTGATATTTTGTATGATTGTGGCCCATGATTCTGTTTATTGCAAATGTTACTCTTCATGACAATATTCCCATGCAATATAGTCCCAAAAATGAGATTTGATAAAACGATCCAACATTCGGGACGAATGTTTTCATGGAGGGGGAGCTGTGTTTTATTCTTGTAACCTTGTAAACATTTTTTCACTAAAAACTTCTGAGTTGGGTCTGTTACGGATTTTCCCCATGACTAAAAGTACCCACAGCTTGGATCACCCCAATTATGCCCTGAATATTTAATCTACGTATCGTAATTTTATTTGTAGATATCATGGGAATATTATCAATCATCGTATGTTATTAATGTATGCTTTATAATTCATTGTCTATGTTTAATTCATGAATATCGTTGGTTTTATTGTACAAACCCGAATTTCTTCCATAGATTAGCCCAATCGTAATAACAAATGACCGTCTGACATTGTTATTCGACCCAGGTACCCAAATCCAACTTGGCATCGTTTCCAAAACAATTCCCAAACAACAAATCATCCCTTTTCCCGCATTCGTAATGTTAAAGCCTTTACTTGATGCAAAAGTTGTTAGTGTTACCATACAAACGTCGCGCGAATACTGGCGGTACCGCTTGTTATTCGCGCGTGAACTAATTCGCACCGGAATACCAAAAGGTATATAAAGAAGGCACTTTAGACTTTTTCTTCAGTCTGGGACGTTGGTCAGACTCGTAAACATCTGGCCAGCTCAGAGAATCCCAACTCCCCATAATTGGGTAAAATCCAATGCCCCAATATTGGGTAAATTTGACCCAATATCAAATCTTGGGTAACCCAATCTACCCAATTATTACATATCCTAACCCAACCTGAATCAGCTGAACGTATTATCCCATTGTTGATATTGAGGAACCCAATCAGCTGACTATTATATATCCTGTACGATTATCCATAAGTAAACTCTGTTTGTATTTAATTAATCATAAATTATTATTGTTATTGTTTGAATAAATTCATTTTTTATAGATAAACAAATCTTGTTGATTAATTAAGGTAAATCACAGGAATGAGGACTCACATAATTTTTGTAACACCCAAGATCGGGTCACGTTACAGGTCTTCCATATTCCTTATCTTATGTTGAAAACTTAATGCTGAAACATAGGTTGCCACAATAATACAAGCTAAGCCTTGTGAGTAACAATAAGCTATAAACAAGATGATATCTTTTGCTTCTGCTGGTACACCTTTTCTTGGCAAAGCAAATGATGACACAAAACGATGGTAATATTCAATTGCCCTTTGATAAGTATTATGAGTTGATGGTGCTAATGACTGATGCATTAGGTCCGAAGCTATTGATTCTAAACTTTGAAATTGTCCTCGTTGTAATGGCATGCTACAGGGTTGTTGTGGGAAAATTTTTGTAGGAACTGTGGAATCTGCTGGCGAGAAAGATGATCAGCTAAAACATTATCTAAACCCGGTACATGTCTTGCTTGAAATAAAATATTGTGCTTTAAACATTGCGCTACTAAACGACGAACTAGAACCATGATTGTCTTTTCTTTAGAGGATTGTTTGTTGATGATGTGCACAACAGCATCATTATCCGTGAAAAAAATAATACATCGATTTTCTAACTGATCTGCCCAAAGCTGAACTGCAAGTACAATGGGAAATAACTCTTTTATTGTAATATGGTAGGTATTCCAGGTTTTAGGCCATATACCACTAAAATACTGATTTCCTAAATAACCACCGAAACCAATGTTACTTGCATCCGTGTACAACTGTAATGAGTCAGAGTTGTCCCATTGCTCTGATAAAAACAGTGACTTACCATTGAAATGCTCCAAAAACAAACCCCAAGCATTTAAATCCGCTCGAGCTTCCTTATTCAATCTCCTATGATGAAAAGGTTTAGTTAACCCAATTGACAGATCAATTAGCCGCCTAAGAAATGGGCGTCCTGGAATGACCACTGAACAGGCGAAGTTTAAAAGACCTATTATAGACTGTAACTCTTGTAATGTTATAGATTTTTTAGACTTATGAATTTGTATTAGGTGTCTAGCTTTAGTTAACTTGTCTTGTGGTAAACGTTTTTCCATCAAAATAGAATCCAACTCAATACCCAAAAATATAAGCGAAGTGCAGGGACGGACGATTTTTGACTCCTTAATTGGAATACCAATATCCTTGAACAAAAACATTATTTTGTTGAGATCTCTATAACAAATTTGCCTATCTTCTGGGCCAACACCTAAAAAATCATCTAGCAGATGAACTAGTCTCCCACTTAAACCTAACTTGTTTTCACATACCCAATGTACTGCAGTACTGAATTCTTCAAATAACTGACAAGAAAAACTAAGTCCCATTGGGAGAGTTTTGTCAAAATAATATTCATGGTCTATAGTAAAACCCAACAATTCCCAATCTGAACAATGTATTGGAACAATTTTATATGTATTCTGAATATCCAATTTAAGGAGGCTCATTACACCACTTTTTGATGACGTACTACACAAAAAAATAAACCTCCATTGTGTCGACCAGTTTCCTCTGGGGACGAATTGTACAGGTACCTCTATAATATGACCCTGACCTTTAAAACGCTTTAAAAATAGATGAAACATGCAGTGTTATAAAAAGTGAAAACAAAGTAACGGATTCATAATGCATAAACCAACAAGAATTGCTTTTGAGCAGAAACAAAAGAAAACAATTGTCAAATCTTCGCCAAACAAGTAATGTCAATTTCATATCGATGCATGCAGTGAGCTCTATCAATCAATGACATGTTTGTATGGAGGAAATTCGAGTTAAAATCTACACCCTTGTTGAAATTAAAAAATTAATTATATGCATTATTTACTGTGTTGGTGTTAATTCATATATTTGCTTTATTGATTTAAATGTATACTCTGGCAATTTAAAGCTTTGTTCTGAATTTTAGATGTAATGTCAAACGTTCCTTCGTGTTTTGAGTCTTGGGTAATTAGGAAAGATAACTCTTGAAAGTGGACTTTTTATCCCAAATATTTTTTAAATTGGATTTTTCATTTCGTTTAAACATTCTTCATTCAATTTGACACATGTTATTCATTGAAATACATTCCTTGTCTCTTCAGAACTCATTTTCTTAATGTTTTATGCATAAATTAAAAAGATAATGACATTGATTGTTTTTTAGGAGAAAATTATATTTTCTAATAAAATTATTATTAGGTATTATGAGGTATTTTCCCTGTGTGTACATGTCTTAAGAAGATGCCCATCATTTGACACTGAAAGTTCAGAAATTCTGTTAATAATAAACTTGAAATAAAACATTTTACTAAAATTAGACAAAAACTAAAAAATTCTGTAAAACATATTTTTGATATCAATACCCCCATCTGGATATTTGACATCTACATTATAAGTGGTGCTGTATTGAAATCTAAAATAAACTGTGGATGTAATGAGCCACCTTAAACAACCCGCAATTTTTCCCATATGTGCGCATTAAACCTACTGCATCTTCTACCTCCTGATATTGAACAGGTTTGAATTTATTCTGAATACCATCATTGACCGAACAGCCCTCAGGATAAGATAGGTGATGTTTAACTCTATAATCAACAATAGTCTCCCCTGACTTTTTGGGAACTAGATCTAACGGTGAACTCTGAAAATTCTGAAATGGTATTTCCTTAAATGGACCTGCTACCCTATGGTTGTCTATTTCAATCTGAATCTTTTGTTTCAAAATGTCCAAATTATCCTTAGCTGATTTTAAATTATCACTCTCTCTAAAAATTCTTTGACCTTCAAAAGGAATTTTAAACCCAACTTTAAAACCTTCCACTAAATATTTCTGCTTGTTTCTATCATAACCCTTCAACCAATAGTCTAGCCTGTCTGCTTTAATTGGGGTAACAACACTATTTTTCGTTAGCAGATTTGAAGATACCTGTAGTTTTTCCTGCCCTACGTGTTTGTGAAGAGTCAATTGATTTTGAAGGTGTTTGGGCTTTCCCAGAGTTACACTGCTTTTTTGTGTGTGTTCCTCCACACTTTTGACAGGCATGTGTGTAAGGGCAGCGTTCTTTATTACAGAACCCCCTATTGTTGAAACTATAGCAGGGGTATTTTGGTGTTGTGGAGCCTCGAAAGGACTGAGATGCTTGAGGTGAGGTTGAAGTAAATCTTTTATTCCCAACAAAACCAGAATTTAGACCCACTTTGGATTTACCCAAACCCTAAAGTTCTTATCATAATATATTGCTGCCTCATCCCCTACCTGTTTCCCTAATTTTTGTACCATATCCCCATATTTCATTAATGCTGGGGCTTCCTGTGGGGACTTTTCAGTAGAAATACCCACGAAAACAAAGAAGGCCTGGAACCATTGGGCAATTGCTCTAATTTCATAAGTTTGCTTTTTGGGCTTGATTTCATATTCCCCTTCCAAGTTTTCACTGATTTCAAAACCTTTATAATTATTCTTATTTTTCAACCCTAACAAATTTCCAAAATCAACAAATTCATTTCCCCAGATTTTGCTTTTTATCTTAGAATCTACACCGAGACCCAATGGCCTAGTGATACTGGGATTCTTAACTTCTGCGTTAAGTGATATCTCCTTAGATGCTGTTTGTTCATTAGTTCCTGAGTTACTTGGTAAATTGCCATCTCCAGATTGGCTTGAATGATTGTTGCTTGTCGGAGTGTCACTGGCGACTTCCTCTTGTTGTGGATTAACTGGCTTTGGAACTACCCCATAGCCTGTAGAGCTGTCATCACTCCTTTTGTTACTTCTGGGTCTAAGGCAGCTACTAACTCTTTATGTTCGTCCCTAGTGCTACTTGCATCTCTTTTTCTTTTCCTTGCTGGCCTCTTACCAGTACTCATCTTCGTAAATGGATGTTAGCGTGTATGCCTAATTTATACAAATCATGTCAAGAATTCAACCTATCTATGACTGATAAAGTTATCAGCTTTTGATAAAATTATTGTTAATTTACTCATACAAATGTTAGCCCATAACAGGCAATAGGTAAAATTACCCACTGGACCTCTATGGTAATTCTTTATACAACTATTGCTTACATCTTAAAATCTGTATAATTACAGTGCACTACTGACATACAGCTATCGAGAAACCATTGCATCATCACTAATTGCTTTAGTGAAGCATAGCGATAGAATTATCGCATTTGTAACTTGATAAAATTATCAAGATACAGCACTAATCAAGACGTGATAAAATTATTACTAATTGCCCACGTGAAGCATGGCGATAGAATTATCGCATTTATAACTTGATAAAATTATCAAGATTCAGCACTAATCAAGACGTGATAAAATTATCACTAATTGCCGCCGTGAAGCATGGCGATAGATTTATCGCATTTATAACTTGACAGAATTATCAAGATTCAGCACTGATCAGGACGTGATAAAATTATCACTAATCGTGAAGCATAGCGATAGAATTATCGCATTTGTAACTTGATAAAATTATCAAGATTCAGTAATACATTAAAATACCACTAATTGTTCAGTAATGTGGCAAAATTACCACTAATACTTAAACATGTGGCAAAATATCACAAACTCTTCTTCAACTTATGCATAGAAAAGTTTCCAGACTTACTGTTCTAAGTAGAAATAAATGCCTGATCACAAGGGTCTCTTACTGTATTTCCCACTTTTGGACTGGCTCTCTACAATGCATCTAATATATAAATTAAACAGATAACTGCTAAAGGTATAAAGTATAAAATTGTGTCATATATGAAAAATAAGTATTTTAAATGATTATACCAGGGTAAGGTACATATACATGTAATGCCTGTTTTATAAACTTATTAATAAGATGCAAATTAACTATAATTGTTATATGGTTAAATGACATACAAAATATTTATCTAGCTATCACTTGTGCCATGTATCACAGCACCCTGATTGCCCTGTAATATTTCACATTGCCAATATGGTTCATATGTACACCATCACAAAAGTTATTCACTACAGAGTTCTTCAAGCCCTTTAACTTCCAGTACACAACCTTCCTTCTGTTTTTAACTTCTTCTTTTAAAAGTTGATTTGCTAAGACTATTAACTTATTATATAAAACAAGAATATCCCTATGTCAAATATAAAGTGCAGCCCAATAGGCATTGTTCCCAAAAAGCAAGGGGGGTGGCGTATGATTTGTAACTTATCTGCACCGGAGGGAAATAGTGTTAATGACTTTATAGACCCAGATCTATGCACCGTTCATTACACATCATTCGACTCGACAGTAAGAATGATAAAAGAACTAGGCAAGGGAGCTTTGATAGGCAAAAAAGACATTTCTAATGCATTCAGACTACTTCCTATTCGCCCCGAAGACTTCTCCTTGCTTGGTTTTCATTTTAACAATTATTATTTCGATAAGTTCCTCCCATTCGACTGCTCCATAGCATGCGCCACATTCGAAAAAATTACTACAGCCCTCTATTGGATTGTACAAGATCGAGCCAATATTGACACCCTCGTCCACTGCCTTGATGATTTTCTTTTTGCAGGCCCTGCAAACACTCTTGTGTGCAAAAACCTCATGCAAACATTTGACACAACTTGCGAAACACTAGGTGTTCCTCTGTCAGAGGAAAAAACCGAAGGTCCTACAACATGCCTAACATTTCTAGGCTTGCGGATTAATACGATCACCCAAACTATATTTGTCCCTAAAGATAAAGTTGATGCCCTTAAAGCCCAAGTACAAAATGTTGCCTCGCGTCGCAAAATTACTCTTAAAGAAATGCAATCGTTAGTCGGATCTTTGGCTTTTATTTCCAAGGCAATACCGAGCCTATTGTAGGCGATTTTATGACAGCCTGTCACAGGGATACAAACAACACCATTATATCACTATACATTTGTATCAAGGGCACTTCGCGAAGACGTAGATATATGGCTAGAGTTCCTGTCTGACTTTAATGGCACAACTGTATTCCCAGATATTCACTGGTCATATGGGGACACTATTCACATATCCTCAGATAGCTCTGGTTCACTCGGGTGTGGGGTCATATTCGGTACACATTGGTCCTGCCTTCAATGGCCCTCAGAATGAACACAACACGATTGTAAAGACCTGACTTATCTGGAGTTAGTCCCTGTCGCTCTTGCAATTTACATTTGGGGCCACAAACTCCAAGGCAAAAAAATAATCTTGCATATAGATAACATGGCTGTTGTCGAGATAATCAACCAAAAAACATCAAAGTCACCTAGAGTTATGTCCCTCCTCAGGCCCTTCCTGTACAAAATATTAAAATACAATATCCAAGTCCGCTGCGAACATATACCAGGTCATTCTAATTCTATTGCTGATGCCATATCTCGTTTTCAGTGGCAAAAGTTCAGGAAGCTGGACCCCCACGCAGACTTCTATCCCTGCCAAGTTCCTCGGGAATTCTGGAACCATTTGAGCAGGAAGTAGAACAGCTACTCACAGCATCAGTCTCTCGTAACACTCAAGAAACATACCAGAAAGGTCTTGACTCATTTGCACAATTTAGAAAAAAAAATTAACTTAACGGAACTGTGGCCCCCTCCCATAGACCAGTTAATAAACTATATCGCTTACCTTTCGTTAAAGGGGACATCATACTCCGCAGCCAAAACCTACCTAACAGGCTTGAGCTTCAACATAAAACTTGGTAATTTCCCAGACCCATGCCAATTTTTCATAATCAAAAGAAATGCTCAATGGCTTTAAACAACTTAAACATAGGAAAGATTCAAGAAGTCCGATAACATTTCCCTTATTAGTCAAGATAATAGACTCATTGCAACACGTTTGCCGCAGTTATTATGAAAAATTACTCTTCTCTTCTGCATATGGGCTTGCATTCTTCGCTTTACTTAGAGTCGGGGAGATAACTACCACTACGGCAAACACCTGTAGTTCTCCATTGTCAGTAGAAAATGTATCAATATCTCAATCATGCATTCGGATCACATTAGGTAAAACAAAAACAGATCAATATGGCAAGGGCACAACAATGCAAATTAGTAGCACAAAACAAAATCAGGTCCTATTCCAAAACATACTAGAATTCATGACCCATAGACCATCACAAACTCAAACATCACAATTCTTATGCCACATGGACGGCTCACCCTTGACCTACTATCAATTCAATCAAATACTAAAGAAAGCTCTATCATTCCTCAAGCTTGATATATCAACATTCAAATCCCATTCATTTCGCATAGGGGCTGCAACTTCATTATATATGCAAGGTATTCCAGAGCAAGAAATTAAAACCATGGGTAGATGGAAATCCAACGCTTTTAAGTCTTATGTTCGCCCAAGTAATGTAGTCTTGTAGATAGTCAGTCTTACTGACTGTAAGCTAAGTTAGCAGGGACTCGCTGCAAGGTATGGATAGTTGGATCTTCCATCATCAGACGAGCCGAAGATTACTGCACATGTTCAACAATTTGCCAAAACTTGTCTCTTGAGCAACTTAAGATAGATGTAACCTGGTCTGGATCTGGGGGGCTATAATGGGAGCAACTTGATCAACACATTAACAATTTGTTAAATCGTCATAAGGAAATCATGCCTCGAGTACTATTAGTTCACTGTGGTGGCAACAGTATTGGCCTTCAGCCCCTTAAAAAATTACAAATAGCCATGAAGTCATTATTAGCCGCTCTTCATAAAAAATTACCTAACACTCTTCTTGTATGGTCAAATATACTTCCTCGCAAATACTGGCGTTACATGATTTCAAGCGAAGCTGCAGAGAAAGCTAGAAAAAGAATTAATAATTCTATTGGTTGCTTTGTTGTGCAGAAGTTAAATGGGGCCCTCATACGTCACCCAGATATAAAAATTGATCAGCCCAAATTATTCCTCGATTGTGTACATTTATCAGATCTTGGAAATTCTATATTTACAACTAAATTCAAACGGCATTGTCAAAGTTTATGACTTCCAGTCAAAAAGTTTTCCCTATGCTCCCCTAAAACACAGTATCTGTGCATGGCTTAAAAAAGAACCCCATACACCATCCCATAATCCTATTCCCGATAGTAGTCACAATTGTATCGAATTGAATTGCATCCCTTATCCCCTATAATAATCCCCTCCCCCCCCCAAAAAAAAAAAATAAAATGAAAAAAAAATCATGCTTGATGATGCATTGTTGTGTTGTACTGTATTGCTTTGCCACATTGACCATTGTTGTGACCCTGCATACTGTTTTGAATTGCTTTGTTGCTTTGTGAATTATTGCGTTGCATAAGACATAATGTCTTGCTTGCCAAATTGTCCGCCACTTGTTGGCGGATGGATTGCTGTCTTGATATTCACGTACAGCAATCCACTTGGCAGAATTTTTGCAACAAGCCATCGCTGGCAACTTCTGTTTACCCTCTAGGGTTGTAGGCACCATATGGCTCCTCGTTTCCAATCGGCAATCCTCGGCTGACTCCGCTCCGCTCCATTCAAACCTCGGATGTGATTGGTGGAGGAATACGCAACAGATCCTTACATTTCTCCGCCGGAAACTGCCTTATCACTCATTTCGTATTTCGCTCTGCATAACGTTCTTCGAAAATGTTTCTTAATTTATGCAATTCTTCATCGTAAACAGGTTTTGTTTACATCCTCATGTTAACAGGCTTTGAAAGCAAGAAAAAACTGTTGAGTGTGCCACAAAATAACTCCGATTTCAAATGTATGACATTTGAAAGAAATTCAAAAAAGATCACATGACTGAATCAGCAAGATGGTAGATCACCGTTGACGTCCGAGGTTATGTGCGAGGTACGAGTCATCGACGAGGAACTCCGAGTGCCTCGTTTCTGCAAACCGTATGCGCCAAATGCAAGATTGAGGATCGGCGCTTACTCATTGACACTTGCAATAATACTTGATCATTGTGCATTGTTTTCTGGAGGGTTGTCAGCACCATATGGCTCCTCGTTTCTGCAAACCGTATGCGCCAAATGCCAGATTGAGGATCGGCGCTTACTCATTGACACTTGCAATAATACTTGATCATTGTCCATTGTTTTCATAGCATTGTTTCATTATGTAATGACCCTATTTTAAACAAAATTAAAGCCATGACAGATACTGCCATTCTGAATTGCTTATTCTTTCGAGATAACTCGCTTGTCCCACTTTCAATACACAAGAAATGGGCATAAAATTATTTATGAACATAAATCGCATTTACATATGAAATCTGAACATTTTGTACACATTTTTGATGACTGTTTAAAGCAAAATCAGAAATGTATTGAGTTAAACGGTGACTGTGTTGAGAAAAGTTACATGTATTTAATTAAGCTTTTGACGTCGGGTAACGTCAAGGATTTTCGTTTTAGTGCTCCGGGTATGAGTGTTTGTCTTTTTTGTATCTGATAAAAATGTAGCTATTTGTGCTTTGTTTTTGTTTAGAATTTGCATATGTATCAAATTTTCCGAATTAAAGTGATAATATTTAGTGCTCTATTGTCATTTTCAGAATAGTACTACGCTCAGTAAGTATTGGATATATGCCGAATACAGTTCTGTATTAAAAAATATCAGACAGTTTGAGGCCCGTTAGGGCCGAAAACTGTCTGATATTTTTTAATACAGAATTGTATGAGGCATATCGTACTTAAAGCATTGCTTTTGATTTACCTGAGACAGTCCGATATTAGAACAAAAGACAAAGGTGTTGATGACCACTGGAGCAATTCTTTCAAGAATGCAGGCTTAAATGAAAAGTACTCAGTATTTAGGGATTTGTTCACACTGAATATAGAAGGTACTAGTATTTGAAAGAATTTGATAAGGAGAGCGGGGACAAATATTTCTTCATTAAAACAAACACGGAGATTAAAGCAGTGCAACGAATTAATATACAGACGATCTAATGAATGATGAATTTGGAATGGAATAGAAAATGCCGATATGGACAATATCCTCAGAAAAATTAAGGACAGATGATACAAACAATTTTTTTCTTTGAAAAAGATTAAATATCATGTCACAAATTTAGAAAAGTGGATGGTTCTTAGAATTTTTTCTCCCAAGAACTTAAAATATGAAAAAGACTTGGAAAATATTAATAATATTTCAATGAAAAAACAAATATAGACAAATCACATTCAGTAAAGGTTTACAGATGAAAGTAAATTTCAGAATATGTTATCTTGGCGTTAAAAGTGTAATATAAACTTAAGAAAAATATACCGAGCCAGGTGAATTTTATTAGGAAAAGCTAAATGGTAAAAATCAGCCCATTTGATATTGCCAATTTTTTGTCATTTCGATCTTCCTCTTAAAATTCACCTGGCTTGGTATATTTTTCTAAGGTTTAAATTACACTTTTAGAGCCAGGATAACATATTCTGCAATTTATTTTCACCTGTAAACCTTTACTGAATGTGATTTGTCTATATTCGTTTTTTCATTGAAATATTACTAATATTTTCCAAGTCTTTTTCAAATTCCAGTTCTTGGGAGAAAAAATTCTAAGAACCATCCACTTTTCTAAACTTGTGACATGATATTTAATCTTTTTCAAAGAAAATATTTCTTTGTTTCATCTGTCCTTAAACAGGTGCTAAAGGTACACTAGTCAATTTAATTTATTTTGTTCCATTATAGAAAAACAAACAAAATCAAAAATCCAGGAGTTTTGAGGGAAACGTTGAAAATAAGTATTTATTATCATACACTAGGTCTAGTTACCTTGACTTTGCATCTAGGCATTTTTTCTTTTAATGAGAAAAATGAAATTAAACTGTTTAAATGCTGCTCTTTATAGTTTCTAAACTTTGCGTTTAATTATGAATTTATTTTTGGGGCTTTGAAAGTTTATGTGCTTCTCTGGTGACCCCCAGTGTGCCCACTCTTTTTCAAAAAACAAGAAAAAGGGGTTGAAACTCTTCTCCAATTTTTATGAGTTTATTAGAAGTTTACCAATTTTTTTTTGTTTTAATTTGCATTATCTGGTCTGCCGCATGTTCTTTTTCCTATTTCAGTATATTCAGTGTAATTGAAAGTTTTATTTCTTTTAATTTTGTAATCCTGTAAGATCAATGTTTAAAAATCATCATTCTGTGTGAGAAATTTAAATTGCTGTTTGTTAAATTATTACATTTTTTATTTCTTTTGTTCAGTAGCAGTCCAATTTTGAAGGATATCAGTACTGAGACAGTCTGATATTACGATTAATATCAGACTGCTCACTAATATTGGACTGCCACAGGTAAACTTTTAGACTGCAAGAACAAAGGAATGACATCACAGCAATGTTTTAAGATATTCATAAATCCTTTCTCCTATTTAAACGTTAAGAAATAATTTGAAAAAATGAATATCCGCCATTTTGAATAGCCATTTTTGAGTTATAACTTACAGCTGCACCATCAGTCAGTTGTAAAATACTGAGATGAAGAGGAAAATATCAATCTGCGGTATATGAATGTTTGCAAATGTAATATCCTGAACAAAGCAGAATATATAAACAATAGACAAATAAATCAAAGAAAATTCGAATTAAATGTAGAAACGACTAAATTTTCTGAGTTAAAGTAATGATGTTAGCATTCTATTATTATTTTTATTGTTCATTACACTCAGTGAGATATTCACACATTATTTCTCCTTTTTGAACGACATTAAGAGAAAATTAAAAAAATTGGATATCCGCCATATTGAATCGCCATTTTGACCTTTTTAACGCCGTTTTCATGAAGGCCAGCATATTTTTTCGGATTCAACATACTCAAAATAGGTTAAAAACTATGCTGGACCAAATAATAATTATTTGCCGTTAGAAGTTATTTCTAGCCTTCTTTTTAAAAATCTGGATAAGACTACAATCAGTATAATGTGAAAATTTATAATTATATCTCGCTGCTGCTGATAGTGTTATTTTCATCCTCTACAGAAAATGATTTTCAAAAAAAGAGAAAGTAATGGTATAAATGTTAAGAATTTAACACAGAAGAAAGGAACTAGGCTTAAAATCTCAACGTAATTACATTCAAAAATATATCAGTTGTATATATATATATGTGTCTCTAAAGGGACTAAAAAGGACTTATACAGCAAGATATGTTCAAGAACGAAGAAATAAAACAAAAATTGCTTATTTGTCAACCTTACGTGTAAGATCGCAGGGGGTGGTGATGGGTCCTCTATGTAGAATTGTTTCCTGTATGTCATGGTCAGTCTGCAGGTATGAAAATACAAATGAGTTGCTATCTAAGTCATATGACCATCTGCTCAGAAGAGGGTCCAAGAAATAACGAAATAAATAAACCCCTTTTAAAAAAAATTAAATCCATATAACTTGTGTTAAATAAAAATAATAAACTAACACAATAATTTTAAAAAGAATGTTCTATTACGGCGGCGGAAAGCACTGATATGATAGACAAACTAGTTTTTATTCTTGTGATTCCTTACAAGGGTTAAATTTTTGGATGAAAAAAATATGTTTATAAACCAGGAAATATGTTGCACCAGCATTCAGTTGGGGAGAAAATGGCATAGCACACCCGAAGAATATGCGATGTAGAGGTGATGAGCCCAGCTTGTTTGATTGTTCTGCTAACAATAGGAGCTATTGTCCCAGCCTTGGGAACAACAGGGTAGAGATCACCTGTGATAGTGGTAAGATGCTTCACAAGAATTTACCTCAAAATTTGTTTGCTTTTCTTGTTTTTTAAAATATATATGCTTATTTATATAGAGGAAAATAAACAAACATATTTTTAAACACAATTATTTTAATTTGATATTGGCGATTGTTGGTCGTGGTATATTTAAAGCAGCAAGGGGTCGCCAAGCGAAAAGAAGGACCCAAATTTACAACAAGCAGCAGCAGCAAACAACGTAAAAGCATAATAATGGCTGTTTCGGGTAAACCGCGAATGGTAAATAACCTTACATACACTAAGTGACCGAAACTTGGAAAACCATAGGTTTCGGTCATCCCATAAAACGGAGAAGCCACATTCAACTACCCACGACCAACAGCCCTCTCGAGCGCTAGCAACTACGTTAGTGCATATTCCTGGAATACGCATGCTCGGCTTCACGGTCAGGTATTCTGGAAAAAACTTCGCGGTCTGGCAGTGAAAACTACTACAGAAAGACTATAAATAGACTGTGCGATAACAATTCCATTGTGTCATTAAATAGCACTGTCCTGTGAAGTTTGTTTGTTCATTGTATAACTTACACTTTAAAGTTAACTGCACAACAAAAACTTAGGCCATATAATGCCAAGATTCTAGACATCTAGCTTTGTTTAACATTAAAGATTTCAGCAAAATAAACCAGTTGATCACGAACCTTCCTTTCTGTGTTTAAAAAGTGCTTTTTTTCTTTTTTCACAGATAAATTTGTTACTTGGTAAAACTAGCTAAAACACTTACAAAATTACTCCTGACCCCATCCCCATATATTGAATGACTTCAATTAAGATATTTAATAATAGATGAAAAAATATACTTTTTGCCTAATTATGTTTTCATTTGCACGTTTTATAAGGAATTAAGAAGCAGATCTTATATAAGATTATCCTTGGATTGTTTTTTGGCAAATATATTATAAATGTCATAAATAAGCAAGGTATACAATGTATACATTGATCCTTTCTGGAGCAAAATATTGCTCTGTCTTTGAAATTGTTCGGTTTTAGTATATTCCTTTTATTTAAATAGCAACATAAGTACAAATTTATTCAAGGTGAAGGTAATATGTTTGTTAAATGTGTCATCTTTTAGTTTGCCCTCGTATGAAATACGGTGACAACTGCAAAGAAGACTGTCCATGTAAGAGAATAAATACCGAATCTTGCGATATGGAGACTGGAGAATGTGTTTGTAAGCCAGGGTATACCGGGTTCTCCTGCAATTGCCAAGTTGGCTCTCACTCCTGTAACACAACCGTTTCTGATTGCTACGAGGAATCGAGTGAAGTATTCTGTATTTGTAAGAAAGGTTTCACAAATTCAGAGTACAATTGTACCGGTAAGAAAAATGTCTAAATGTTTACCAAAATATGAATTATTATTATTATTAAAAATTAGTTTTTTAATCAAGTACGAGACACGGAGGAGTTTTTAAATATGTTTATGGGGTCTTTATTTGATGTTAAGGCCACTTTATAAAATAATTTCTACAAAAATTAAGGCCCTATCTTGAAAAGTCTCAATTCGAAAAAAATTTAACAGTCAAATGATAAATCTTAGCAGAAACAAACAACATGAATAATTTTGGGAGTGAAATACTAATTTTCTGTCGTGATGCATTAGAAATTTTATTTTTGATAGTTGCAACATTTTCCAATATTTACACATACCTGTTTTTTATATATAATCAGAGGGGAACTGAAAGTAAATGAATTTCTATTATAAGGTTTCTGATACCGTAGGTATAATAAATAAGCAAACACGTCTATCTGACTGCCCATCTGATAATAGTTTCATGAAGCGTGATAACTTGTATATCTCTGTCACCTCAAAATTAATATTTTTTGTAGAGGGATAAAATGAAAGAAGGACATATTCATGTTGTATTTGGACACTTAGCATGTTTGTTTTTGCTTTATTATTATTTTTTAAATCTTTTTTTTTTTGCTTTCATGTAGTACTAAAAACGGTTTTGTCTATACATTAAACCTTAGTTTATTTCATTTTGCACAATTATATATCTTTTTGTCGTAGACAATATAAGACTTAACTCCAAAGGAATCGTGCAAGTCTTCGAAGGTGATAGATGGGATGGTATCTGTAATGACAATCTTAAGAGAAATGCTCGAGTTATTTGCCATCATCTAAACAAAAGCACGTACGTAATTCAAATTCTCAAATTTGAAGGCACAATTTTCTTCAATGACATTGTGTATTTTTTGTATTCAATTTTACAAAATATTTAATATTCAATCTTTCGTTGCAAAAAGTTTTACTAAATTAATGTTTTTTTTAATTTTCGATGGAAATACTTTGATTTATAGATAAGTATTTTTACTGTGATAATTTGGTCTGTAACTGTAAATCATAAACTATTTTTAAAGAAAAAGCACCTTCTTTTACAGGGAATTCATATATTCAACTTCAAAGTTTCAGAACTTTAGATACGCCGAGAAGTCGGTCAATTGTACAGGGACAGAGGAAATGCTGTCTGAATGTCCTTTTAAAACGGACTCTTCATGTCCTTACAGTCCAGTCGTCTACTGTGGTGGTCAGTCTTTTGTTTGATATACTTAGAATCTATCTTTTGTAATGAATAAAAAAAATTCTACATATTTTACATTCGCTTTGTCACTTTGGGATAACATTTTCCAATTAATGCATGGTCTTTTTCCAATTATTGTATGGTCTTGCCACCTAAGATTTGTCGGTTATACCGTTAAAGTTTTGATATATTATTAGTTACACAGTCAGTTAGTGACCTAATACGGATTCATACAGGGTGTGAAATGGAAATCCGTATTGGGCAAGGCGAAGCCGAGTCCCAATACGGATTTCCATTTCACACCCTGTATGAATCCGTATTAGGTCACTAACTGACTGTGTAACGAATTTATTCCGCTGAAGAAGCTTTTTCAATATAAAAAAAAATATTTGTGCATATTATGAAAATATTAGTTTTAATCCAATAACAATCAACATAAAATATCGTTAAGGTAACAAGAAATTTAACTAAACTACCTACGCTAACCGTTTCTTAGCCGCCATTTTTATTTACAATAACAACACTTCGAACAGAATCGCGTGCTCGATTTTCATATTACGCCTCGGCGGAGACGTAATATGGAAACGGAGACGTAATACCGAAAATTTCAGGGCGTCATGTGATTAGCTTTTATCCAATCAGTAATCGACAAATTTGTCTGAAGCGGGATAAAGTTAATTCTTACGCCGTATACGAATCCCACTGCCTACAGGATGAAGCTCTGCAACTTATAATTAGTTAACTGAAAAAATACTGAGAGTCTACTGAAAGGTGTGCTGATGAATGACAAAGTTCTGCCCCTCAGTGACCTTTCCAGAACTTTCAGTGAATTCAATCAGTTGACTGAATGGTTCAGGTTCATCCTTTGTCGAGACATCAAGACCCTTCTTTCGCAGACGAGTGTATCCACCAAGGTCCCATGTCGCAGTATGTTTTGTCACGAAAATGGGTCTCTCACTGCTCAGTGACCCTGAGTGCTGAGTAAGGGTTTAAAATTTACAGCGCTTGTGGTGGCATCTCAATATGGCTGAAAAATCTCAAATTTGGTGTAAAAAATCCAGACAAATAAACTACACAATATCCATTGATTTTAATGTTACTAACTGCATAAGGATCAAACAAAAATATTTTGAAGTCAGGTATCTGGTGAACGCACTTGACCATAAAACATTTTTCAATTATGGCAAGATTTTTAATTTTTTACGCTTTAGGAGTTTGTGTTTTTCTTGGTGAATTTTTTAAAAACATACTGGAAATTTAGCGAAAAAATTATTCACAAAACATAAAAATTCTGCTAAAACCCTGACTGAATAATTAAAAATCAATGCTGTGTTCTTTATTCTAAATTTAATTTCGAAGGGATGTTGGAGCTGAAATATGAATATAAGAACTTTAAAAAAACATTAAATGAGTAAAACGATTTTGCACGTTAAATGTTAAATTGTAGATTGTCCAGACTGGAAATATTCAGACGACTGCTCAAAGACATGTGATTGTGTCAGGGAAGCAAGTACTGGGTGTGATTTCAGAGACGGGACCTGTTCTTGTCGTGACGGTTTCAAAGGGGAGGACTGTAGTTGTCACCTGTCAACAGCTCCTTGCTCGGGAGCATATTCCAATTGTAAATTTGACAGGTGTGTCTGCAAAGAAGGATCCTTTAATCAGTCAGCGTCTTGTTCAGGTATAGTATAAAATGTGTTTGGGACGACATTTAGGGAAAAATATCAAAGCAAGATAATTAGATTTGAATACATGTAGAAACTAAATCTTAAATGTTAACAAAAAATTGGTTTGAATTTCAAATTACAAAAAAAAAAAAAAAAAAAAAAAAAAAAAAAAAAAAAAAAAAAAATTAGAAATGTTTAAAAAAGCGGAGTACATAAATAGGTCCTTAAACACATAAAACGTTGATTTTCAGTTGTAGTGTCAAAAATGTTATTTTTAATTCTGAAATTGCTGAGCTATTTATAATAAAACTGAAATTTTCAACTTCTGTCATGGCAAGTTGTTTTTCATTCCCCATGAAATATTATTAAAATGATTCAATTTAAAAAAAAAAAAGCTTAATTAAGACAATCGTGAACATTTTAAAAATAAAACATAAGCTTATTGAGTCATTATTGAAACTCTATAATCGCCTAGTTAAACACACTGCCAAATTTATGTTATTTTCTAAGAGGGAATTTGTATTTCTAGTAAAAATTTAATTAATGATTTTAAAAATGATTGCATTTTTTCTGTTCATAGTTATAAAACTTCATGTAAAAAAATAATATCAATATTGTTGTCGATTATCTAATCTTGCTCTGATAATGTCTGTTGAGGAACTTTTGGGGATCTCAGATCAGGTGTATGACCAATGACATATACGCAACATACGATTTCTTTTATGAAATACATGTATAACGAACAGTTTGCAAGCTCAAACGTCCATCCAAACAATAAGTATCTTCTGACCGGTCACACTCTGTCATGTATCTTTTGTAGATTTTTCTTCAATATATATAAGTTCCTAACTTGTTTGTCAAATAATTAGATATGCAGATGTCTCTATATTTTTTTTATCTTTGCATTAGATTTATCAGATGTCATCGGGTTTTGCACTTTTGAAAAGGAATCATGGGAGGATACCTGCAACTTTATAACTTCAAATCCACGTTTGAGACTTAACTCCGTAAGTGCATTTCAACTTGATTGTTTATTAATATCAATTAGCTCGTAAATTTACTTACCTTGTCATTGGTTTTTTGAAAAACTATTTTATTAAAGTAATTCTGATTGTACACACAAGTACTCTGATAACCTATGTTGTTTTTGGAGACCAGGTCTTCCAACAATCTATTGGAATTCCCATGGGTACTTATTGCGACCCGTTATTAGCAATCTTTTTTTTAAATTCGTATATAGCAGAACTTTTCCAAAATCTTACACATGAAAAGAGGGAAACACTTACGGTGGCCTTTAGATATATCGACGACGTAATGTCAATTAACAATCGTTACTTCCATTCTTATGTCGATACATTATATCCCGGCAGGCTTGAAATAACAGATACCACAAAGTAAGGCATATCTGTTTCATTTTTAGCTCACCTGAGCCGAAGGCTCAAGTGAACTTTTCTGATCAAATATGTCCGTCGTCCGTCCGTCTGTCCGTCCGTCTGTCTGTCCGTCCGTCTGTAAACTTTTCACATTTTCGACTTCTTCTCAAGAACCACTGTACCAATTTTGACCAAACTTTATACAAAGCATCCTTGGGTAAAGGGGAATTTAAATTGTTAAAATGAAGAGCCAAGTCCCCTCACAAGGGGAGATAATCAAGAAAAGACAAAAATAGGGTGGGGTCATTAAAAAATCTTCTTCTCAAGAACAACTGGGCCAGAAAAGCTGAAACTTATGTGGAAGCATCCTGGGGTAGTGTAGATTCTAAATTGTCTAAATTATTATCAATGGGCTAGAGTGGGGTCGCAATATGTATTACAAGGGGGAAATCTGGAAAGAGCAGAATGGTGAAAGCTTCTCAGGTGAGCGATGTGGCCCATGGGCCTCTTGTTGGATGTTTTACTTGTTAATCTTACTAGCTTTATGATAAACTGTTGACTTTTCAATCGTCATTTTCCCTTATTTATGTAGCAATATACTTTCGTCATCTGCATACGGAGTTTATATCTATCACTTTAATTCAATACGCAAGAGCTATATCTAAAACGGGGTAAACTATTGACAAATAAGTTGCTGAAACAAAAATATCAGCAGCCGATTTTAAAGAAAACACGTCTTGCATTTTTCGGGGTTCATGATTAGGGTGTCGCTCTCAATTTATTAAGTACTTTTCAAATGACAAAAACTTTATTTCCAAATCATTTGTAAAAGTCTCTTAAATGAAGTACTTGGCAAATTGTCAGTGCACAAACTTCATCAAACTGGAAGTAGAAGTATTTTTTTTCTCAATATAGTCTCAATATATTCTCACAAGTAACGGGATGTGGATGACCCTCAAGCTTTTTAGCACTTCGATATATAAATGTATTTGTCAGAAAATTTGCATATGATATATTTCAAGACCAAGAGTTCAATATAAACAAATGACAACTTAATCCTGTATAAACCAGAAAGTTTATGAAAAATAAGCCGTGTATTTGTTCAAGCTATTTGTCAATTTTATGCAAACTAGGTGTTAAGTATTATGGAAACGTTTTTTATGAATGGATAAGACGCTACAAACCGTGTATGGAATTTAAAAAGTAGGGTTTAATTTTGAGAAACTTTCTCGAAGTTGTTTTTGACGTTTCAATGTTGGTCAACCGTGCTCCGTGGTAACAAAACATGTTGCTTTAAAAATTGTCTAACATGATTACTATTTAATCAAATGGAATGAAACTTTATACTTCAACAAAATAAATGTTTTTATTAGGATGTCAACGAATATTCGAGTACTCGACTATCGTTCGATCATACCGACTATCGACTAAAATTTCTTTAGTCGGTTATTCGTTAAAAATGTGTTTCATCAAAGTAATATTGAATTCAAGGCAATAAACTTACATTTGCCCATTTCATTTATTTACAGATCAATATTTTCATATGTAAAAATTAAGGGTAGGGTATAACTGTTCAAAGGAATTATATGTACGTCGATGTATTTTCGGAAAACATATCTTCAAAATACATGTAAATTGGGTCAGTTATGAGAGTAATTAAACCGTGTTTTCTATTTCTGATATTAATTTATGCAATCATTGATTGTTTGCACAAAATTTCATAATTAAAATTTATCCCAAGCTATCTCTCTCTCTCTCTTTGTTTTTATAAGAGACACACTTTAATTGTTTAAACCTGTCAAAGCGTAGAAATTGGCTTCAATTATGGGGTACATATACTACCGTTATGTAAAGAAAGGACAAATCAAGCTTTTGATATCCTACATTTCGATAAATAAATAGCTAATATATTAATTTTAAAATTAAATACATTGGATACATATTGATGTACAGTTTTAATTGTACTACGTACATGTTTACAGTTCAGAAATTCGTTGTATAATGGTGAAAGCGTAGGTTAAATATTGTAAACTAGTCTGTAAAATCAAAGACCTAAAGCAAAGTTCGATTTAGGTCTATGGTAAAAGATATGATATGAAAAAATAATTCAAATTAAACGAATATTCGACTATCGTTCGACTAAAGCATCCGACTATTCGACTAAGCTGACCGAGTAAAATTGACATCCCTAGTTTTTATGTAAGAAAATGTGTTGATTTATAATCTTGTAATGATAATATGACGATGAGGAACATTGTCTACGTATTTTTTGAATGACCCTCATATTGCTTCATGTAATTATCCATTTAACACGATAATGGTTTATTTGTAAGACAATAGAATCTCCTCAATACTTCATTTGAATTATATTTTCTTCAGTATGGTTCAATGTTTGGAGTGGAATGGAGACCGAAGACAGGATCAGATGATTTATATTATCTCTTTCAAGATACAAGCGATTTACTATTAACCTTCCTGTTAATCGATTCATCCTCTACTGATATGATTATAACGTTGAATGAAAAGCGTAAGTTAATTTTATTTTTGTGATTATTTTGAGTTCAAATTTCCAATTTTCATACATCTCCCTGCAAGCCAGTCTTTTTATTCAGGTAAGCCGAAGGCTCTAGAGATGTTTTTTTTTTTATCAAAGATTTCCTGTTGTCTGTCGTTGTCGATGTTGTTGTCGTTAATATTAAAAATATTCAATTTTTGCCACGGTCTGAAACAATTTAAACCAAACATGAGTATCCCCGTATGAAAAAGATTTCAGATCGTCCAAAGGAAAGGCCACACTCTCTTAATAGATAATAAAGGAAAGGTAAAAAATAAGCGAGGGCATTTAAGTCTTCTCAAGAAACTTTTGGAAAATAAAGATGAAATTTATTTTTTTTTTTGTTCTTCCTGACAAAGTATAGGTTTAATTTTGTTCTAGTG